TGTAAACACACACTTGTTAAACAATCATTTGGGAATTTCCCGATTGAGCACCATGAGCATCGTACAAACCAAACGAACAACAGTTCTCTAAAGATGGCTTCCCCCTACATCCTTTGACGAAAAATTCTTCAGGGAGGGTGTCTTCTCCCAGATCCAGCAATGGGAAAAATGCGTCCAGCGGGATGGTGATTACATTGAGAAATAAAGCTCATGTTGAGGTATGATGTGGTACATTATTATTATAAAAGGACAAAGATTGTAGCTTTTATGGACCTTTTCCGGTTTTCCGTGGAACGATCCTCGTATTACGAATGTTTTTTTTTTAGATTGGTTTTCCTTTTCAGCCTGTCTTTTCCAGTCGCCATTTTATAACATTGCAGATTTCAAGAGGTGTTACAAAATAATCTGACGAGCTAAATTTCTTCTTCTTCTTTCAGTCTTCTGAACAGAATTTCATGTCATGAATATATGAAATAATTATAATTAATATGAATTCTTCATTAAAACTTCAAACTTTATGGTACAAGCTACCATTATACGAAAGATTTAAACAAACTTGCTGACTAAATTAGACAACATGAGATATACGGCTTGGAATCGCTGCTATGAACAAACGTTTTACTGCTGGTATATTGTGAATCAAGCCTCTAAAGTCAACCTAAATCCAGACTTTGGCCCAATTTTTCACTGGTTACATAATATGGCAAGACACTTTCACTCTTCAAGCTGTCTTCCTCTTAGATTGAACTAGAGCCCCTTGAGGGGCAAGTACTGCTGGGTGAAAAAGAGATTGACAGGAATTAACCAACCTCATCTGTTAATTTATATAAGTTAATAATAACTTGCTTCTTTATAGCAAAGCAGATGGAAATAGAAAGGGGAGATCACTGGCAAAACTTTGGAAAAATACATTTCTGAAATTATCTCCATTTAAAAACTCTTGAGGTACTTTGAACTATTCACAGAACAGTTTCAGACAAATAACACTTACAGGATCTCGGCAGGTTTGGAACAGTTCTGGACAAAGCACGATATGGGTTTAGTTATCATTCAATGAGTTTGCAATTTTTAAAAAGTCTTCTGCTTTACAAGCCATTTCCAACCTACACTGGTTCTCCATTGTCTTGTGCCAGGTAAGATGACCTCCCGCCACCCCATGCACCAGGACCTCCATTACTTCCCCTTCCGTCCTGCTGAGCGGATTGTGTGTTCTTGGACAGCCATGCAAAAGATCAACCGAGAAAACGGATGCTTGGTGGTGGTTCCAGGCTCGCACAAGGGACATCTTCTCACCCATGAGTACCCAAAATGGGAGGTTAGTCACTTCTGATAGCTTGTTTTCTACGAGTAGAGGCAGAAAAAAGAAATTAGACGTCACTTTTCTATGTCAAGATGTTTTTTCGCAATGAGGTGCATGATATAACCATGAAACATAACTTAATACTTTTTAACAATTTCCTACATTAGCAGGGCTATTTTAGGTTAATGCAGTGTACAGTTGTCTATTCACTTGATCAATCTGTTTCTCAAGTGAATACTGCAGCTGACTTCCTTTTTAAAAAGCTGTCTTCTCCCTGGTTGCTCGACTATTTTGGAGAACTTGTGTTCTCAGACTACTTGACTAGAGAGCCCTCTTTTTATTCCAGGTTTTTCAATGTAGATGCATTATGGAGTTATACAAGTATTTAATTGAGACCTGTCCAAGACAATCACCTGTACAAAAAACTGCTTCCCACTTCCCCCTTTGCGATTCTTAAAAAAATATATATATACACTGTCCAAGACATCCATCTGTCATCTAAGACAACCACTTTTCTCCTCAACAATGGAAGGCAGTCTTTGACAGTTTTAACTCGTCATCAAGAGCCAGATCTGCGGCAGACATCGATGATCATGGTTCTCCTTTAGTTCTTTTGCTCGGATGCTCTCAAAAAAGCTATGTTACCCTGATGTTTCCCCGGTTACCCATTTGTGTTAGCTCTCAAAGTAGGTTGCTCTGGGCCTACCCCTGCCTCGTTTGCCTTCAATGTTGCCAATGAGAGCTAAATATTTAAGACCTTTATGTGTATTTAGGTATCCCAAAAATTTCAACTACTATAATATAATTATCCTCTCTTCCTGCGGCCAGGGTGGTGTGAACAAGATGTATCACGGCATCCAGGACTACGACCCCAGCCAGGACCGGGTGCACCTGGACATGGAGGAGGGAGACACTGTCTTCTTCCACCCGCTCCTCATTCACGGATCGGGCACCAACAGGACCACTGGATTCCGCAAGGTGAGCTCTACTAATAAAAGACTGAAATCCAAGATAAATGATAATAGTGATCAAGGTATGATTTTTATCAGAGGGAATGTCAGGCCGAATCGCTAGATCCCAGATGGCCGCTGGCTCGGAAAAGCTAAGTATCAAAGGGAACTCAGAGTTCCATGGTTTTGATGCATTGACTTTTACTTTCGAAATTCAAACGCTCGAGGTTTTCTTTTCTCAATAGTGTTCAGTTGAACCTTTTTTACATTGCTAGATAAAGATAATAAATTACTTTGTTTATTTTAAATGTCTCATTCAGATAAATGAAGAAATAATGGTTTTGTTTTTGGCCATTTAAAAGTTTCAGATAAGGTTTATACAAATTAGCTTTTCGTTTTGCTAGCAAAAGATCTGAGTGGGTGATTGTAGGTGCTCTGGTGTGATTTGCTCCTTCTTTCTTATCAAACAACTGTCATCCTCATCTCTCTTCTTTCCTATCAAACAACTGTCGTCCTCATCTCTCCTCCTTTTTGTCTTTGTATGTTACTCTCTAGTAACACCTAATCTTCGGCGCTTATATGACCTATTTGTGTTGCACTACCTCGCCTGGTCGAAAGTTCTAGAGGATTTGTGACATCATGTGCCATACTTTGCTTTTGAACAAAAAGACCTTTACTCCTTTAGGCCAGCATATTTTTACATTGATTATATCAACACATGCAAGGTGTGACGGTTTTTTTCTATGCCATTACTTAAATAAATGATGACCTGGACCTCACTTCCTCAGTCCATCTCTTGTCACTATGCAAGTGGCCATTGTTATTATGTGGATGAGCTTGATCCTGAACAGAAAATTATTGCTGATGAGGTACTGGAGCTTGCAAAGAAAAGGACAGGAAAGGATGTTGACTTAAAACTGGAGGTAAGCCATTTTGGGGAATGTGTGCCTGTAGTGTGAGTGGTTTTTGGGGGGGTGGTTGTTTTCAAGTTCTCGTTTGTGATTTATTAAAGGTAACTGTAATCATTATTTCAGTAGTCGCAATTTAAGTTGTAGTGACAGTTACAGGCCTTAAAACAGGAGAGGCCTATCATAGTTCTTTGTACACAACAACAAGAATAAATAAGGCAAGTAAAAGGTTAGGATTTGCAAATGACAAAATGGGGCTGATGTTGGTAAAAATAGTATTGTGATATCAAGCTTCGAAAACTTCCTGCATCAATCTTGACTTTTATAAAGGGTAGGAATGTTTTTTAAATGAATATAGGCCTGTTACTTTCAAACGGTGAGAAAAGAATTCAACTAGATCTAGCTACATATATTATTATCAGTGTAGGAACTTTATCTTGATTCAGTACTACATACTCAAACCTGTGTACACAGAAGCATTTGGACTTTGGAACTCAGAATTTTGTTTTTCCACTGGTTATAACTGTGTGAGAGAATTTGATCCATAAGTAAGGCCAAGGTTGCCAATGTAAAGTGGAACTTTGTATCAGTCTATATTAATCTTTTATTTTTTATATTCATCAGTGTTTAGTAAAACTGAGGTGCTGGTTGTCTTATTTGTTAAAGACATGAGTTCAATTCCTTTACGTTCAAGATATTTGATATGCATGTTCTCCATTTTTCTCCTTGGATTGTCCTAATTTTTAAGGTGGGTGTCTCGTTTAAAATTCTGTCTAACCAGTTACCATCCCTCTTTTACCCACTTTGTGTTGAAAGGAATGTAAATTTCCACTTCAGTGTCAAATAAACAACAGAGGATTTAAAGATTTGGAGAAAATTTCTAGCCTTTCAGACTAGGTCTTTAATAGCAAGTATTTATTCTTTGGGTATTCCACGCTCGACTAATGATCTTATACTTCCATCCTTTTTTTTTCACTTCTTCAGGACATTTGGAGACTGAAGAGCCGCTTGGTGAAGGGCAAAGATGTGCTCAATGCATGGTGAGCTCTTACAAAGATATTCTGATGATCAGATGACTTTGTCTTGACCGTCGTATACCCCAATGTTGATTGTTATCATGGATTGTGATTATATTGTTATCTCAATATTGATTGGGAAGTACATGGATTGTTTATTACTTTGTTTCTTGCCCTAAATTACTGGTAATGTACACACGGGTGAGATTAGTTGTTGATATGAAGTGGAGTCTTAACAAGGTCAATGCAGATATTTATTTGATGGTCTACTTGGTTTTAATATTATGATTGTGATATTTTTCTAAGGGAGTTATTCCGAGCTCTTCAATTGTTAATTTGTTATGGGATCGATTGTTATTCAAGAATTTTGGAATAGGTGCGAGGATGATGTGGCTGTTTTTAACATCTATATCAGCCTTTTCTGTTTTCAGATTAAGATTGTAATAAAAAGCTTTGAAGTTTGTGCGTTGACAGAGAATTCGATGATTGACTCGTGTGAAGAAATCTGTTTTAATCTTTGAGTAATTCTCATTCCCTACATGATTAATTTGTGTTATCTCTTCTCAGAAGAATTAGTCACTTGTACCTAGAAAATTTGACATGGTTTCTAAAAATTTCCCAGGGTTCTATCTTACAAGTCAGTGGTAGCAACTTGAAATTTCAGTTGGAGTTCTTATGTCAAAAACCGCAATATTTCAAAATACAGTCGAAACTGTCTAAGACAACCACCCTTGTGGAGTGTCCATCTTAAACAGGTGTCACTATAATATTGTAAAAAAATATACAAGGGAGGAAATGAGAAAAGATTGTTTGTACATGTGATTGTCTTATACAGGTGGCCGATAAAGGAGGTTCAACTGTATTACTCCTGTGAGCATGTGCCGTTTCTTATACTTGAATGTGTTGGGTACATGCATTAGTATTATTTATGCAGATCAAAATGTCTGCTTTGTAATTACATTGAATATAAACAAGCTTTGTAAGATTGCATTTTTAATAATTCAAGAAATAAAGTCTTCTGAATTTGATAAAAATGAAAAAAGTTGTTTAGTATTTGTCTTCTGTTGTTTCTTTAAAATAAATTAAAATGAGAGTTTTAAAATTTGGCAGTAGAAGTTGGCAACTGTCTTTGTTGGTACTGGATGTAATAACTAATGAATCTTGACATATTTCCTATTTGATTTTCATTTTTGTGCTTCGGTGGAGATTTGAATATATAAAAAAAGAGTTCAATTTAGAACAATTTCAGTATCTGTTATGTTGAGGTGAAGAATGACACGTATTGTTTGGAAATTTACAGCAGAAAAACCAATCGAGGTGTATTTCCTTTTGACAGAAGTTGAACAATTTTTCTTTTCTCTTAACCAAAAGATAATATCTTTGCTTATCCTGCCTCCTCAAATGATCGTATATTTCTATGGTGTGGTGTACGCACATCATGACCAGTATAGAATAAGCGTGTCACGACGTGATGGAATCTGGCTCTTGCCTAATTTTGGGCATGTTGGGTTATTGGTATCACCTTAAAGCTTGTTCATATGTCTTGCTTTTGACCCCCCAAAAAATAATACCCATTTATCTTAAATAAAAGTTGAGATAACATATTTGAAGGAAGTGGGAATTGCCTGGTGTCAGAATAAAATTTTTAACTAGAAATTGGACACCAAAGTTTGATGACTTCCGAAGCTTGGAAACTGCAAATTTACATTTTTTGGGCCTTTGATCAACGTTTTTCAGTAATATTCATTCAGTAATTTGTTTTTAAATGGACATGAGGTGTTGTGACAAAAAAAAAAGACCCTTTCAAAAATTGTCCAACAGGGTGGTTTCTCCTTTGTCAAATTTTTAACTGGATTCAAGGGCTTGATTTAACAATGATGTTCCTAAAATAACTTTACCATGTCCTTAAAAATCACAATCCATTAAAATTAGTAGCTAATCAGCTTTGCAAAGCAAAATGATGTCACTAAGTTGTTTCTCATCAGTTTAAGTTTTTAGTTCTTTGCAGGTTAGTTTTAGTTTTAGAGTTTTACGACACTTGCAACACAATAAGGTCATATAAGTGCCGAAGATTAGGTGTTACAAGACAGTAACAAACACAAAAAAGAAGGAGGAAAGATAAGGATGACAGATGTTTGACAGGAAAAAAGGAGCAAACCACACCAGAGCACCCGCCAACGACCCGCTTTTGTAGGTTATAATATAATATAATAATGATGTAGACTAACTTGAAAATCATGACAACACAAAGAAATGAATTGGAAAAGACAAAATATTTTTCCAAAGACATACTCTTACAAGCGTACCTTTATTGTAACAAATTTTAGTACATGTTTAATCATAAAACAGTCAAAACAGTGGTACTATCAACATGAATGTGTCAACGCACTGAGGGGAAACAAACTCACAATATGGATTGAACAACCAGAGAAAAAAACAAAACAATATGTAGCACATTTATAACACAGTCTGTTTTCCACAAAACTAACAAGCATTATGTGACCTGAGATGTCTTGTTTTGATTATGTGTTAGAAAACACAATCAGCCTTCTTCCATATCTTTTCAAGTTTAAAGTGCAGCTGAAGTTTGGAAATATAATTCACATCAATGTCAACATACGTCCATTTTTTTGTATGGAGGATAATGCCCTGGTTATAGATGGAGGTACTCCTAGACTATAGGTAACAATTTTATTGCCAGACAAGATAGTTGAACTCACTAAGACCAGACTGAATCTCTATATTACATTATTTGGCTATATATAAACAACAAAACTACACACAATGAAGCCACTAGCAGCATGTCAAACGTTTATGTTTTAATAGATTCTACATCTCATTGAGATTCTAAATTTTTCTTTTTTCATTGTCTCATCATAAAACTCAACTCGACATGTTGAAACTCTAAAGCAATAATCATGGCGTTGGTGGCCTAGTGGTTAGGCTCTCAGACTTCCAACCGTATGGTCGTGGGCTTGTACCCCGTCAGAGGCCTGACGTTATGTCCTTGGGAAAGGCATTTTACACAAATTTTCCTCTTCATGCGGGTGGGAATGGGTACCCAGCTATAAACAGTTAGCTGTTAATAGGTTGCTTGCAGTGTATGCTTCCCGGGAAGCTGAGAATGTTTCTGAGTGTTCTATGGTCTGCTGGAGTAATAATATAGTGTAAAGTGCAGAGAGTATGCTGCCGTAAGCTGACAAAATGCCTTTTTAAAATTTTGGCGCCAAAATTTTTTGTTGGCTAAATCGAAAGTCTGATCAGTAACCTTACTTGAGTGAAAAAAATAAAAGTGAATGAGAAGTTTTTGAATAAATTCAAATTTAGGAGAATCATTCTATTTTTAACGGGTTACGCTGACAAAAAAACTTAAAAAAAAAAAAACTGCCGTGAAGAAAAAAAAAGTTGTTTTGTCAGTTTATGGCAGTATGGCAGAGCTTGCTGTCGAGTGGGATATAATGGGCTATACAATGCTATTTATTATTAACCAAAAACGTTAACTATGTCTTTTGCTGACAAAAGTAAAAAGGTGGAACCCAACATTGTCCTCTTGTAAAGAAAAACATTCTTTTCTTTAGACACTCGGCTCACACCCTATTATAAATAAACATGCAAAAATAATTCTTAAACTGTTGCCCGTGTATATTTCCAAAGGGCAAAATCAGATGTCCCTGATGACACTTGCTTTTTGCAGAGCGCCATTGAATGACAAGCAGGATGATGTGCTAACATAGCTGGAATCAATAAATTTATAAAAAGAAATATCTGAGAGTGGTATAACATTGTTCATATTCATGACGCTTTAAAACATACAAACAACATAAGCTTGTATGGTACAGAATGCTTTAACAGTTAACTTCAATAACTCAACAGAGTCCCTTTGTTTGAAACACCTGAGCATCCAATGTGTGTAGCCTGTCCATTCTAATAAATTAATAATACATCAAGAGTTAAATATAGATCAGCCTGACTTAACAGCTGCCTCAGTGGATCAAGCATCTGTCAAAACAAGATTCCACAGTTGAAAAATAATTCAGCATTAAGGTCAAATCAACAAACTCTCAAACAACAACAGGTATTTACTGTTATTGTATGGTCAAGGATTGTTCAAGGACTTTCACCATCTGTTGCGACTAGTTCTTCCACTTCAACTATACTTCATCTGTGGATACTCTCTGTTCTCCAACATTGCTGGGTCCAAAAGTACACTATTAACACAACTGCTTTTTTCAAAATTCAGTTCTTTCTATTTTCTCACCCTATGAAGTTAAAAGAACATCTGATGAATATCTTCTGCAGATTGGTTGGGGGAAAAAAAAAAAGAAAGTACAGTCGAACAGACTCTCATGTTTTTACACTGCAGATTGTAGTATTACAGATTTAAGTAAACGTGTACCTGCACTGGGTTAAAAAAACAAAACTGGAGACAAAAACACTCCTTGAAACTTTGTAATTGACAATCTTTGTATTACAGTACATATGTTTTATAATTTGTAATATATTACTTAAAATTTTGCCAGAGTGGCAAGTTCCAAAAAACAACTTTCACATTCACACAACCTGAGAAATGGAGTATACTGTTACTTCCATTCTCACTCCACCTCCATAATAAAGCCATGATTCCTTAAAGCTTTGGTATCATCTAATGCATGGATCAACAACATATACAACAGCAAAATACAAGCAAGGTGCAATATCATTTCATTAGAATGTTCACAGTTTCAACAATATCCTTGTGGAGTGGAACACCCAAAAGCACATACAGAACCTGTTAACAAACTTTAGGTGTTGAAATATTGGATAAGCATGCAAAATACAGATAGAAAAATACACTCCAACAAAACCCTGCTGCATTTGATTCAACATTGCAAAACTACAACACAGAGACAAATACAGTAGGTATAAAGAATTGTGTGTGCTCGAGAGAGAGAAAAAGAAAGACTGTGTTTATCTATGTACAAGTATTTTTGCTTCAGACAAAATGTTTTTGAGTAAACTGAACATTCAGAGGTGATACAATGTATTATTATTATTAATATCCTTACATAGAGAGAGAGAGAGAGACAGAGAGGCACATAGGCCAATGTACAGTAATATGGCTGAAAACTCTCTTTCACAAGAGTAACAGTTCAACCCCTCACCACTTCAAAATTTGCCCAGTGGTGGCCCTAAGAGTAGTAAAAGCACCTGGCACCATGTAACACAGGGAAGTCTGAGGATAATGACAAATTTGGTTTATTTGACTACATCAACAATCTGCTTTGATGTACTTGTATTCAGAACAATGTGGCAAGACTTGAGCTTGAAAAAAAAATAAAAAAGTGAATATATACTTATGAAATACTTAGAAAGAGAACTTCATGACCACAAGTTATTTTATAAAGTTGACTACGAACTGTTCTTATTTGTTATAAAGGCAATTTATTTTCAATCAATCGTAGAAATTTTATATTTTATACCCCCACAACAAGGGTAAGGTCATGCACAGTGAACAATAAAGAAGAAAAATAAGAAATCAACAAAATGTCACAAGTACTCCATAAAAGATACATATTTTTATGTATAGAGAGCTTGATTTCACATTTTCAAGTCATTGTGGAAATAAATTCTTGCACAAGTCTGAAGAGCTCTCACCATAAAGTCAGCAGACTTGGGGAAGTGTACCGGGTTACTCTATATTGCTCTTGAAAGTATAACCTGTCTCTATGAATCCTGATACATGGAATCATTCAGGAATCGGTTAGCATTTTTTTTCCATCTAATTATAAGTTTTGTGTTCACTAGATCTACAGTTTTCTTTTTAATTCTCCAATGTGACACATCTTAATATATTAGTTACTGTAATTTGAAGACTTCAATGTAACTATCAGGAATTTTGCATTCAATTGGAAGAAAGAACAGTCTTCCTTTTCAATATTTGACTTATATATTCATGTCATGTCTGGCTGCTATGGGCTGAGAAGATGCACAAGTTACGGCTATTTGGAAGGCTATTTGGAAATATTTCGTTTCTACTTGAACCCACACAGGTCAGAGATTTAGTATAGGTGCATATTTGTTATTGAGCAAAGTGCCGAAGATTACTTGTACAATCTCGAAGAAAGCTCATGGGGAGTAATATTTTGAGCATTCACTTTGGGTGGGAATGTATCGTTGTAACGAGGGAGGCAGTCCCAGTCTTGTGCTGGAAACTCCGGTGACATGGATGTTGCGGCTATGGGCCTGACACACTGTGGAACTTTCTGTGCACATTGCAAAGACTTGACTAGAATCCTGTCATGTCATTTCAATCTGTGTATGCAAACTTACAAGACTTCACAAGGGCCACTTTCTAACTTGCAATCTCCATGACCCCTCCTTCTGAGACACACAACAGGGAAGCCCGTGTGTTAATCATTTAATATTTTCATCCATGACAAGTGCGTTGTTCCTGCCTGCCACTGGTACAACAAAGGATATTAAGGTAGTATACCTTTTCTAAGGGCACAACATCTTACATCAGAACAACACCTCTCCAGTGTACACTGTGACCACATATTGGCTTTAAGAGTAAACATAGTGTTGTCACTGCAGAAAACCATTTTTATAAACTTCCCATATATGGAGGCTGGAAGATTCAAATTAAGTAATTGGAATAAACATGAGTCAAATGTAACTGCCATACCATGAAGAGTCTGTAAGTAAAATTTAAAGTAATTTTGACTTCTTCTTATATGAGTCAAACCATTCAGATTTGAGAGTCTCAAACGTAACGTGACCACTTTGAAATAACTAAGGTGATCCAAGTAACCATGAAGCATACAACAAGCCCAACCCTGCAGGGACTGTCAGTTACTGCAAGGCCTTTATAAGATATGAGGCAGTGTAGGACACTGATGCTACACCCAGGACAAGAGTGGATACTGGAAGCTTGGTAGTTGTGTGACATTGTGTGGCAGGCATGTGCTCTTAGGTATTGTGTGTGTGTGTGCGTGTGTGTGTGTGTGTGTGTGTGTGTGTGTGTAACACTATGTGTGTGTGTAACACTATGGGTGTGCATGGTAGGTGTGCACGTTTGTATAAGTATAAGCTTTGTATATTTGTTACGTTATGTACATATGTGTCACGACGCAGTGGAATCAGGCGCTTGTCAATTTTTGGACATGTGGAGTTATTGGTATAATTTTACAGCGTATTCATTGGTCTTGCAGTCGTTGAAGAAAATACTCATATTCAAGAATAGAAGTCGAGATTTTGCAATTAAAGAAGGTGGGGTCGCCTGGTTTCAGAGGTAAAATTAGCGAGACAATGGCCGCCAAAGTTTGGCAACTTCCAAAGCTTGAGGGTCATTAGAAACTGCAAATTTACATTTTTGTGCCTTAAATCAGCATTTTTCAGTAAAATCCACACAGAAATGTGTTTTTCAATAGACGTTAAAGGTGTTAAGTCAATAAACAAAAATTTGATAAAAAATGCCAAACAGACAGAAAAATGCAAATTTCTTCGATTTCATTATTTTGACGAGCGCCTGATTTCACCATGATACCTCATATATACTTTGAATCAATGACAGATGAAAACGCACTGCCGATTTCTTCAATGGAGAATTCACAAAATTGATCTCATCTCATCTGAAACAAGGCAGGGGGTGTGGGGGGGGAATATTTACAGGGACACAATTTAAAGTAGTTTTCAAACACGTATTTCATTTACAATAACACACTAAAAAAGTGCAACGATGGAAATCATGCAATATAATGCTACACTGGGAGAGACCAGCAGGTTCACATGCTAAGACAAGGCAGTGTGAAGTGAAACAAATACTTTCAAGCAACACACACAAAAAAAGAACAATAAAATGCACATTAATTTAACACCACACAATGTAAACAGTTTTGATACCTTAATAACAAAGACAAACCACCACGTGAAATAGCATTGCCCACTGTAAAAAGTGTGACAGAATGTGCACTGAAGCCAGATGTAGAGTTTGAAAAAACTTTAAGTAGTCTGTAATTCACAAAACAAGTGAAATATCTGGTGGACAAAAATAACCAACCAACACTAAAATAAAACACTCTTAATTCATTTTCAAGAAGGGGATTGTGGGAGGGGATCTTAACATTAAGCACACATAAATTGAAAATAATATTGCTGCAATAGCGATTTCTTAAGAAAAGCTCTCTGATGTTTGCATAAAATGTAATCAGCTATCATTATAATTATTTTTCCATGCCCCAAGTCTGATGGGAGTGGCAAAACAGACGATCACAGAGTGATAAAAACAATATCAATTAATAACAAATTGAAAACTTCAGCTTCATCAATATCGTTCTGATAGGTAACAAGAGAAGATGATCAATATGAAAGATATGTATTCGCAAGTCCGTTAATTTGTGACACACAGTCATCAGTGATCATTACGAGCAAAAGTCAAAAAGGAGGAAAATAGACAGAAGCACCAAACCCGCCAAATAAAATCACGAGATCCTACCACACCCATAAAAATTATTAACATCTATTTCAGTTTCAAAAGAAATCTTGTAATTAACAATTAACATCCTTTGAGGACAGGGAAAACAGCTTAATGGGCTTAGATCGAGTAGTATTGGAGGAACTTCTACTTCTGCCTCTTATGAGGAGACCCCTTGGTGGTGTCCACTTTATCAATAGAATCACCAACACAAATAATATTCTTGTCACCTTTCTTTGATTCTGTGGTCAAACTTTCCTCTAGCCACAAAAATCTAAATTTGTTTTTGATTTTCAAATCAATTTCTTGTATTCTGAGAACGTCCAATTTTGTCAGTTCCTTCATCATACTTCATGGTGATGAACGCTTTCTGGAGGGCTCATGCATGTGAACCCACACTAACATTGCAGTCTCTAGCAGTTTGGCGATGACGAAATCGCTGTGAAATTCAAGTATCGCATACACCGGCGGATTGCGCTGGCTGACCGCTAGGCACTGTATTGGCGATAAGCGGATGATAATTTGTGCGAACCACGCGACTCACGGAAAGGAGGAACTGGGAGGGAAAAAGCGGAGAAGACTGAAAATCTCAGATTTCTGGGAATCTGTGGAAGATTATGATCACTGAGTCATAGACAGTGGGTTGAAAAAAATATGAGATATCATAGCTTCTCATGCTGCTAGTCAGAAAGCAGAGGGGAAATTTGTGATTCTCACTAGAAAACCCTGAAACTTTAACAAGTGCGACAGTAAGAAATGTTCTGGAATAAGTTCCTCAGTTTGCAATAAGTTATCAAACCTAAAATTAGTTTACAATGGAATAAATCAGGAAATAAAAAATTAAAATTAAGACACTTTCAGGTATATTATCTCAAAATCTTTTTTACAATACAAATTTGAAATAACTGTAGGCTCGCACTAACCCAACAAAAGACGAAAACCCTCAGAATATATAAAAATGGGGATTTCATTTTAGCGAACATTTATACTCGTCTTTTTTCCAAAACGTCATAACATTGTATACAGAAGAAGAAAACATTCAAATAGTCCTGAGTGTTCGCGCTGTCCAAATCCAGGTAGAAGCCGTAAATCGAGGTCTCACTCAACTCTCCTGCTCATCACTATCGGTGTAAGACTTGACAGACACTTTGACACAGCGACTGTGGGATCGGCCATTGTGAGAACTGAAAAAATTAATTTATAAATAAATGTGAGGGTGTGTGTGTGAGAGAGAGAGTGTGTGTGTGTGTGTGTGTGTGTGTGTGTGTGTGTGTGTGTGTGTGTGTGTGTGTGTGAAAGAAAAATAGAAGAAAGGATGTTGTTCCTTCGTGTTGGCCATCGTGAGAACTGAAAAAATAAATGTATAAATAAATGTGTGTGTTACTGTTAGTGTGTGTGTGAAAGCAAAATAGAAGAAAGGATGTTCCTTAAAACAAACTTTAAATATATACTAGAGCTTGTCCCTATGATTTCAACATGTCTGAGTGTGTGTGTGTGTGTGTGTGTGCACGCGTGTGTGGGTTTGCATTTGTGAGTGTGTGTGTGTGTGTGTGTGCATGTGTGTGCATGTGTGTGTGTGCACATGTAAAGAAAGGACAGTGTGAAAAGGAGTCGCATATATGAATAAATGAGTTTTGTAAATTCGTTTGCAAGCATTCTACAGTGTGTTTACTTTTATGTTTGTATGTCTGTGTGTGTGTGTGTGTGTGTGTGTGTGTGTGTGTGTGTGTGTGTGTGTGTGTGTGTGTGTGTGTGTGTGTGTGTGTGTGTGGTGTGTGTGTGTGTGCATGTGTGTATGTGTGTGAGTATGTATGTGTGCACGTGAACATGTGTGAGTATGCGTGCACATGTGAGCATGTATTTGTGAGTGTATACATTCTTGTGGGCTTACTCACCTCACTCTGGCTAGCACCTCCTCACAAGCGGCTACATCAGTAGGTGTGCTGTACTCCTGCCATGTTTGACCATTGTCCAGTGAGTAAGACAGAGGCTGACCCGGATAGCAGCTCCGCAGCTCCAACTGACCATCACCGGTGATTCTGGAGGCATTTATCATAATAATAATACATTAGATGAACAAAAGCAAGAGAAAAGAAGGAAGATACTGTATATCATTGCGTGTAGGATGCATACACAGATAAGACACAGGTAGACTAGAGAGCCAAAAGTCTGGTATAAAGATAAGATAAGCGGGGATTCAAAAGCTAAGATAAAATAAGATAGGAGATATGATCAGATAAGGTGAGATGAGATAAGATAACACTGTATTGTCCCTGTTGGAAATTTTCTGTGGCTGTACAGGAATGGTAAAAGTGCATGTAAATCCTACGTACATCTGATACCAACTTTTTTATGGCAAGCACCATCACTTTTGTTAGTGGACTTCTATTATTATCAACAAACCATACTTTTAAACAAAACAAACCCCATTTTTTTTTGTTGCACTTACCTCTTTTTTGCTAGCAGCCTATTTTGAGGCATGAAGCACACATTTTTTTTCAAAGTGGTAATGTCCAGATTTTATTTAATTGATTTTTACCTGATCCATAGAGTCTATCCTTTTAGTTGGCTTCCACTGGGCCGTTTGGGTCTAATTTGTATCTCCTGGATAAGACACAGGGTGACTTTGAAACTCTGAATTTTAGGTTAAAAAAGGTGTACTATATGCTATGATATACGGCAGATGGAAAAACCTTTTCCTGGTCAAGAGAGAAGCATACTTACACAATTACAGCCACTTTAATCATAATTTAGTGTTTGGGAAAAAAACCCAAGGCAGATAGATAAACAAAAAAGAAGTAGGACCTACAAGTGGTGCTCTCCAAATGTCTGCATTTTGAAGAGGGCATAACAGTCAAGAACAGCAGAGCGAATATTAGTGCATTGCTTTTGTGCTTTTACATTATTAGAAAAAGCAAGCAACTCGTAATTAACACCCGGGGATGATGGACAAAAGAATAAGCTCAGAAGAGACCAAGATGAGAGTCCATGTAGGACTGAAAAGACTGAGGTCTAGCTGTAAGGACATTGTGAAAAAGACAGAAGGAAATAAATATAAATCTTTTGTAAAGATAAAGTTCCCCCCTTACTAAGCGCACATCCCATACCTGGCTCCTGGCGGAGGGATGTGATAAGGCACTTGTGAACTCTCCAGTCGGTACAGTTCCTTGTGTCCTAAGGAGTGGGCAAAACGGGACCAATCCGCCTCCACGTCACCCGTCCTCTTCTCGTAATCCTGGTCCTCCCAGTCACACCGATGCCATGCCCGCTCTGCCAGCGCGATAAGCCGGGGAAAGATCATTTCGTGGAACTGAGATGGTGTACGGACAAGTTCGGTCCAGATCTGTCCTTGAAGACCTGCAGAAAAAAATAAAGAGATCCGAGCATGAGGAGTGACATGATTATATTTGACGATTTACTCTTAATAATCAATTTACTTTTCTTGGTGAGAGGCCCAGGCAACATGAACATGGGGACTGTTTCCCCTTACTGTGACCTTATCAGGCAGCTAAACAAATAAAAAGTCAAAATCATTGGCTTTCTTCCCACTAATCATAGGCTTCTTTACTCCACCTGAAGAAAATGCATACATCCTGTGTGCTCATATGACCCTCCGCAGTTGCGAGAGCCATAAAACACTTACCAAAAACAACAACCCAAAACAAGCACACATTTTGACGAAGGAGAACTATTCACGATCAGTCAGATTGGACTCTAGCTCAAGTACTTCAAGCCTGTCCATAATCCAGTGCCAAACAGAGCATACTTGAAAGCAAAGTAGGAGGGGGGGGGGGGGGGGCAAGGACAGATAGCTGGGAAGAAGCAGCTAGCTAATCACATCCTTTAACTTCTTATAAAAATAAATGAAGATAGATATAATACCAGTTTATTGATCTGCACGCATACAAAAATTTTTAGTACGTATAGCAATGTCATGATAAACATAATATCGCAATGCAGACGACAGTGAAGTGCTCTGTATTTTTGGTTAGGGTTACTGAAGCCTTCACAAGGACACATCCACTTGAAAGTTAAATGCTTATTATGTTCTCTCAGTATCTATTATGTTCTCTCAGTATCGTTTATTCATGCTGTTCTGTAAGAATTTATGACTGTGTGAATAAATCAATGAGTGCAAGGGTGTATGGGTAAGTTTTGTGGGATTGTCTTTACTCAAGGATGTACTGAAGAGAGAGAGAGAGAGACAGAGACAGAGTGAGAGAGAGAAAGAGGATTACTATAGAAGCTGTGTGCTGCATATGTTCTTTGCATTATTGTACAGCGCATAGAGCACTTCTTTGTGCAAATACGCTATATAAATGCAATTTATTTATTTATTTATTTATACTTTGTCACCAACACTGACACTATTTAGGAGCTTGAGCTCAATAGCAACTTGTTCATTGCAGCTCCCTTGTCCTAACGGCTAAGAATGAAAGTTCCTTTCCTAATGTCATCCTCGCAGTCCTCCTATTACCTTTGATGTTCTGTGGCTTTTTCAGTGTTGTGAAATATTCCAACTGCAGCATCTTGCGGTCATTTTTGGTCATCTTTTCACCAGTCAATTTCACGTCAGCATTAGACATGAGATTGTCAGGGGCAAAGCTGAAGACCTTGCGTGTGTCCACAAACCTGTATGTATATATATAGGACAATATCCATGTAAGAAATAAAGGGATTTGTGTGGTCATTCTAAAGAAAAGACATTCTTGCACATGAAAAATCAATAGATCTGACCTCTATATCCACCCATGTGATAAAAGGCAGTAAAAAGAAAACTGATTCTGCAATATTTTAGAAATTGTTCACTGTGGAGGGGCAACAAATACCCATTTTGGAGTAAAAACAGAACTATAGACTATAAGCCAAATAGAATTTCCTTTTTAAGTCTTTAAAACTGTCAACTTAGAGTACTTTATCATCCTTGTACTAGAAACACTCCACCTGCAACAAACAAGCCTGAAGATTTCATGACATGTTAGTTCTTGAGACCCAGGTATCAGGTTCCATTGAAAGCTGCTTAAAGATTAAAACATTTATGTGCATTCACACTCATTGAGGTCTTTTGTTGTTGTTTTTTTTCAAATAAGTGTTCTGAAGAAAATGCATGTCTGAAAAAGTGAATATAATTTTTTTTTTAAGCGTATGTTTTTCATATGTGAGGCTACGTGGTGAAATCAGGTGCTCGTCAAAACAATGAAATCAAAGAAAATGGCATATTTCTGGATTTTGGGTAATTAAAAAAAATATTTTCTATTTTTGGCTCTACACCTCATATGTCCTTTTAAAAACACATTTCTCAGCAAATGTCACTGAAAAATGTTCATTAAAGGTACGAAAAAAGTAAATTTCCAGTTCCAAAGGACTCTCAAGCTTTGGAGGGAGGGTACCAAACTTTTCTCGCTAGTTTTACCTCTCATACCAGGCGACCCCACCACCTTCAATCGCAAATATCTTGACTTCAATTCAAGATAGAGGGGTATTTTTTTCGCCAAATGCAGGAGAAGTAAACAAGTTTTAAGATTGTATTAATAGTTCTATATGCCCAAAAATTGACGAGTGCCTGATTCCACCGCGTCTTGACACATATAACACTTTGATGTAGGTTCAGTTATTAAAAAATACAAGAAAACTAAAAAAGTGATATTGTAAATGAGAACATCTGACTGGCCACAGAAGGAAGAAAAAAACCCAAAACAACCCATAATGGTTAACCCACCTGCAGGCCCAGAACAGCCCTCTCTCTTCAGGGTCCGGCTCATAAGGGTGGTCAAAGTACAGGTGAGTGCCCGGGGACAGGATCACCTAAGAGACAGACACCAAAACAATTTTTTGTTCTACTCGTTTGATGAATGAAAAGAGGGCCACATCAACATGATGAAAATAATCAAGATTATTTTTGAGTTATACAGAAGCACACTGACAATTGATAACATCACATCACTGCTGCCAGCTGCCAACGCCTTCTTTCATTTTTGGAGCAAAATTTTTGTTAAATCAACAGCCTGACCAGTTACCCCAATTGTGTGAAAAAATCAAAGTGAAATTGAGACTAGTTTTTGAATAAATTAGAATTCAAATTTCGGAAGAACGCCTTTTCTTTAATGGTTACTCAGAGAAAATGCCCTTTTTCTTGAAACTACTACACTGTGAATAAAAAAAAGGCGTTTTGTCAGCCAATGGCAGATCCGTCTTAAGGATGGGTCAGATTTTGAGATAAAAAGAAGGACATCAAAATAATAAAGGTAACTTTATCAGGTTTAGCTTTTCAGTTAAAGAGAAGCTTGTCGACATGATAACAGTCCTTAAGTTTGAGGTTTTTTAAAAAGAAAACAAAACACCTAAAAAATAAAGATCATTAAGTCTCCACATGTTTTCAAGTTAATAAGTGGAACGTCAAAACAGTTGAAATTGTCCAAGACAGCCACCAATTGTCAAGGGGAAAAGAGTTTGACTTAGACAGGTGAATGTCTCAAACAGTGTTGTTTTAATTATTCTTTTTTAAGTGCAAGTGGAAGTGGGAAGTGGTCGGTAGTACAGACAAGTGGCCATTAGAGCAGGTTCGACGGTACCATAAAGGTTATTTAGTCAGAATAAGTCTTTAAATAAAAGAGAAGCTTGTCGCGGTCACTCCATTTGAGGGCAATTTTAGATTGATTAAACTCATCAACAAGACAACAGTCATTTAGCCTCTGCTTCTTATTGAGTTGATGTATAGCATGTCAATACAGTAATGGTCATGCACAGACATGTAAGATAGATTGAAGCAACAAAAGTACTGCCTGGAAGAAGAACCTACGAGGGCATCCTCTAACCATTGCACTGGTTATTAAGTTCAGAAAAGGTAGAGATTAATCTAAAAGCAATATAGAAAAAATGTAGGAGCAGTCACATCTAAGTGCCCTCCAGTCATCCATAACTCAAATACAGTTGAAATTGTCCAATACGTCCACCCATTGTCGAGGACAAAAGTGGTTGTCTCAGATAGGAGGACATCCAGGACAGTGTCATTATAATAAAGAATAAGAAAAAACCCAAAGGGAGAAGTGGGAAGTGGTCATTTGTGCAGGTGATTGTCTTAGACAGATGGCTATTAGAGCAGGTGTGACCGTATAAACAAAGCACAACACCTGAAAGAAAACAAGAAAAATGAACTTTTGACCCAATTAAGAAATATGCACACCCCTCTTCTAGCAAAGCCTGCCTATCTACCTCATAATCATCATTGGCCAACTTGAAGGCATCGAAGGCTTGTCCAGTCTCCCAGGCATTCCTCCAAAAGTGAACCAGCACTCTTCGGTTCGGGAACTTTTTGCGGTTGTAGGGCCCTTTGTTTTTCATTACCTGCAACAAGGAAACATCAGGGGGATTCTTTTTATTACCTGTGACAAGAAATAATCAAGGGACTATCCTTTTACAAGTATCAGGATATATTTTCCATAGAAGTTATAACCTATTAGAGGATATGATAGATAGAAGTACTTTGTTGCCTTAAACAAGAAATAAAAAAAACCCCCAAAAATCTGTACTTCGTGACAATAAGACATAAAAAAGGGACAAACTGCTTTGTTTTTGCTTTCAAGTTGCTAGTATTGAGTGTCAATAACAGGAGTTATGTAGCAGCTTACAGTGAAAAACCCCATTGTCAACATGTTAGCTAGAGTTTTACAGTATTTGCAACTCAATAAGTCATGGAAGTGCTGAAGATTAGGTGTTACTTGAGAGTAACATACCAAGAAAAGAAGGAAAAGAGATAAGTTTAGTTTTAGTAAGAGTTTTACAGCACTTGCAACACAATAAGGTCATATAAGTGCCGAAGAATAGATATGTTACAAGAGAGTAACGAGCACAAAAAAGGAGGAGAGATAAGGATGATAGGTGTTTGATAGGAAAGAAGGTGCAAACCACACAAGAGCACCCGCCAACCACCCATAGAGGAGAGAAAAGGCCGATAGATTTGTGATAGGAAAGGCAGAGCAAACCACATCAGAGCACCCACCACTACCCATGACCTTAATCAGACTTAGGCCAAAATCACACACACTGACGATGGCATTCCTGATAACTGCATACAATAATTTTAAAAAAAAATGGTACTCACTATGCCATCCTGCCACGCCCCGAGCTCTAACCCATGCTTGTGTACCAATTCAGCGACCCGCAGCACAAAATACTCCATCAAACCATCCATGTCCTCCACCTTTCCTGACTCGACCAGGGCCACACATGACAGCGAGACATCCCAGGCTTCGTAAGGAACCTCGTCCCCACCCAGATGAAAAACCGTGAGGGGCTGGATGTCTTCGTGCATCTTTTTCAACTCCACAATAACCTGAGGGAATAGTTTTCACTCCTTAGGAGCACTGTGGGACAAAAACAACACTCAAGACAAACATCGCGGAGACTATGAACCGACTTGCTTCACACAGATTTACACTGACGCACTTTCCACCAAAAAGCGAACGCAAAAAGTAAGTTAAAAGATGGGAAAGGCAGATGAATAAGAAAAGAGTAGGATCTACTGTTAGAGTCTTGTGAATTGTTCTAGAAAATACAGGGAACTGAGAAAGAAAAGGGAACAATTGGGGGGGGGGGGGGGGGGGTATTGCCAACCAACCTTAGGCACTGTTATTGTTGTCACTAGTCTTGCACATTTTTAGCTTTTGGCCCTCAGCCCTGAGCCATTATATGTATGTGCCTCTGAGAAAACCTACAGCAAAGTGCACGTTTTTAAAACTGAATTTTTTATCCCACAACACTCTCAACACATTGCACTTCATGCAGGAGTGATTGTAGCATTCTGCAACTAAAGTCATACTACTTCAAAGGCGTGGGGGGCTTGAAAATTTGAGAAAAAAGGCTAAAAAATTCTCAGTACACTGACAAACCTTTTCAACGAAGGCGTAGGTCGACTCGAGGGCAGGGTTCATCGCGTTCTCCGCTATCATCTGCACTGAGTAAGCCTTGGGAGTGCCATCCCCTGGGTCACAGAGTAAGTACTTTTCAGCCTCCGCCTTCTCATCCTGAAACAAGGCAAAAGAATTTTTTAATAGTTCACTGTCTCAACTAGTCGGGTGTGGAAGTCAGGCTGGCCAGTGCACACTGATAAAACAGTAATCAGCTTGAACAGACAGAGGTGGTCCCTATGCCATTGGTCCACATCTGTTTTATACCAAAGAGCAGTAGCTTCAGCTGAGACACTCATTCAAGCCAGTCCAACATTCCTGGACCATTCATTATGAAAAAGCAAAAGCCCTAACCAATTCCTTTTTAAATGCAGTTGAAATTGTCGAAGAGAGTCTTGGCCGAAGCTACCTCTGGCTACCCAGGAAAATTTTAAGGAGTGGCCTTAAAACTTTCCTGGGTAGCCAGAGGTGTGAAATTAATTTGATAAATGCCTGCCACCCTGATTGTGGAGATAGCCAGGAAAAAAGTTCCTCGAATCGTTGTTACACGTGCGGGAAGGGTGGCATTGGTTGACTGTGCTTATTACACCGATGGGTGGGGCTAAGGGTGGGAACAAAGGACATGTACAATCCTTTCTGTTTTTAATAAGTCAAACAATGGTCCAATGAGATGCACGTACTGGTGGCACTAGACAAGTTGGACTGACGCATGCCATTATCAGAGAGACTAGGATAGCTCTTGAGAGGGGTTAAAATTTGACTAATGCTTTCCGACCGGGCAGGCGACTCTTGATCCCACTGGCTGGGCCTCTAAACCCCCCCCCCCTCCTCCCCCTGTTTTTTTTCTGACTCCCTAACGATTCTGTCTTAGACAAGTTCTACTGTAGTTGTCGTAGACATGTGTTCGTCTTGGGCAATATCATTATAATGTAAAAATTTGCGAGGAGTGGGAGGTGCTCATTTGTACAGGTACTTATATTGACATTCCGAAATTAAGATAGAACTGCAATCATTGCCATAAAAGCTACTTTAAAAAACCTGTCTGGTAGTTTCCTTTAGTCAAAATATTTTCCCCTTATGGAGGTTTGTTTATGTCCTCATTCTAACGTGCGTTCAAGAAGATGTGAAACTATTCTACAAGTAGAATGGACTATGTGCATCTTTAGTGACATAAAGAGACCAAAAAAAAATCAAAAGATTATGGAACAACTAAAAAGAATTACACAAAAAAAAGTATAAGAAGAAACTACCTTTGCCATCAGTCGATCATAGCGAACTTTCATGGCCCTGACTGCAGCATGGCTGTGCCCAGGCATGTCAATCTCAGGAATGACCTCAATGTGACGTGCTTTGGCAAAGCGCAGAATCTCACGGTACTCCTCCACTGTGTAATATCCACACCCCAGGCCACTAGCACTGGGTCCGCTGCCTAGCAGGGGAAGCAAGCACTCTCTCTCGTCTGGGTCATGACCTCGTTTGGAACCCATCTGAAAGATAACATTTTTAATGTTTTACTGACTAAAAATGAGTAAAGTCCCTGAAGAGCAAAATATCTAAAGCAATAACCTTTACAGAGTTATAATCCAGTCGAACAAAAACACATGAGAAGAAACTAACAGATCGAATGGAGGGCCCTTGTGCAAGTTGCGCACCTTAAAGATCCCTTGGTGGTCTAAAATCGATAAGAGTAGGCTTCAACCGCCACCCGGGCAAAATTCAAAATTTCCTACCAATTGAAAATATTAGGTGTGTCCCGCGTGCTCATATGACCTATGCAGTTGCGAGCGCCGTAAAAAAAAAAAAAAGATTGAACAAGGCTTGATTTCAGCCTCGATAAATGTACCTAATAAGGCAGCTTGGCATAATACATTATGTCAATTAATTGTAGGCATTATAAAAATATATGACGCGTTGTGGTGAAATCAGGTGCTTGTCAAAATAATGAAATCAAAGATACCAGCACTTTCCCGAGGGTTTGGCAATTTTTATCAAATTTTTTTTTTTGGGGGGTTCAAAACCTGTTATATCCATCTAAAAATACATTTCTGTGTGAATTTTACTGAAAAACGTTGATTGAAGGCAAACCCAAAAAAATTTGAATTTTCAGTCTCAAAGAACTCTCAAGCTTTGGAAGTAACCTAACTTTGGTGGCCATTTTCTAGCTAATTTTGAAATCAGGTGACCCCACCTTCTTAATAGCAAATATCTTGACTTCTATTCAAGATAGATGGACATTCTTTTCATCGAAAGATAGAAAAATGTACACGCTTTAACTCTTCATGTCCGGTGAGCCGGTGGCAGCGGCTCGGCGCGAAGTGGGTTTGGCCGCTGATACCGGCTCGCTACACTAGCCTTCATTAAATACACGTGAAACTAATATTTCACTACATCAACCGAAATTATGGTCGCAAATGCCAAAAATAGGTCTGTTTCTGTTTGTACTTTCATTTTGTAGCGTTTGTGCGGGCCCGTTTGCTAGATTTGATGGCTTGTTTCCAAACAGCTGATTTTTTGTGTATAATTTGTTTGTGTTGGTTAGGGAGATTATAATGGCTGGAGATTGCTCCTGAAAAAATTGTAGTGACAGTTTTCTTGTTTGGATTATACTGAGACAAAGTTTTCATTCCATTTGGATATTATAAATCTAGATCTAGATGTTGGATCTTGTTGAGGCTCTATTCAGGTTAGTTCATCGTAATGTGTAGGCTTATGTCTTTGTGCATGTGATTTTTTTATATGTGGTTATTGTACACCTCATCTTACACCTGGAAACTTCAAATAATTACTCAAAATTACTTGGAAAACGTGCATAAAGACACAGTTTTCATATCTAGGTATATTCAAACAAAACTATAAATGTAAGCCTTTGATTTATTGTATAACAAAGTGTGTAGAAAAGTAGATCTAGATCTAGCTGTGTTTACACTTTTCATGCCGAATGTGGGTTCTGATACATTTTATTATTTTGGTGTATTTCAAAAGAATGGGCTTCAAAGAAGCTACAGCCACCATAGATGTAATCCTAGAATGTATATCAACATTTTTGCTTCTTTTACTTTGGCTCTGTGTTCAAGTTTTATAAAGTTACACCCCTATTTGAGTGAACAGTGTTATGTAACATTGCAACATTTTTTTTGCTAATGGCCATTTACTTCAATAGTCTATTATTATTCTTCAAAGAAGGCATCTAAATGAACACCAATAAATGCAACTTTCATTTCTGAACACAGACATACCAAAAGTTTTGATGTGGGCCTAGTAGATTGAAAGTTATATAGACTTTTGTAACCCACCCAACTGCTGTATAGGATCAGTCCCTGGGAGGCTTCGGTCAGAACAAAAATCCCTTACGGACATGAAGAGTTAAAATAAAAACAGTAATTCCATATGCCCAAAAATTGATGAGCCCCTGATTCACCGCAATGAGACACATATAGAAGAATATTTTTATATATATAAAAAGGAGAAATCTTTTTGGGGGGGATTTATTTATCACTCATGACATTAATGCCCCATACCTGTCGCAGCCAGGTCTCATAAATTCTGCAGAAGTCTTAAAGGCACTTAAGATCTGCTTCTTTAGGAACAAGTACAACACACTACTAGACACAATAAGGTTATTCAAAAGAAGAACATATGGCACAACAATTTGAGGCATGGAGGAAGAAAGGACAGTGTTACATAAAAAAACCCAACCCTAAATTCTATATTGCAGCATTGATCTTCATGGCGGCTGCTCCACCACTAGTAGGCTGGCCTTTCCACCAAGTAAACAATGGGGCTGTTTGTTACTCCCAAACCCACATGGGAAAAATGTTTCCCGAAAATCAAACTGCAATAAAATTATTTAAATAAGCAAAGCAGCATTGTTGTAATCAAAACAACGTAGACAATATTGTTTTACTTATGACCTTTGTACCAATATCAGATAGAAACAAACCAACAAGCAGATACCTCAACCAGTTCCTCAAGACCTGGTATCTCCAACCGCCAACCCTCGTCATCTGTCAGGTGGAAATGGAATTTGTTGAGCTTATACATCGACATCACTTCCAGGACACGAAATATTTCACTTTTGGACTGAAAGTTTCTGGAAATGTCCACATGCATGCCTCTGTAAGGGAATCGTGGGGTATCACAGATGAGGCACTCTGGTATTTGGCCGGATTTTCTCTTGGAAGAAGCAGATGACAAACTAAGAAGACTCTGAATACCGTAGAAAGCTCCTGCTGCTTCTTTTGCCGAGATCTGATAAAAGGGGCATTATAGTGTTATCAGTAAGGACTTTAAAAAGTAAGACAGAGAGCCATACTACAAAAATAATACATTCAAACACGAAAAAGCTTTTTCACACACAAACGAACATATATCTACAGCTTCATAAAAACTCCCTTGGCTAGCTTGAGAAATTTAATTTACTATTCCAATCTTCTTCCTGGGGATAAACAGAACTGCAGCCTGTTGGGTCATATGCTCTCATTTACATTATATTCTTATTCAACAGATTGCCAAGTATTCATTTGCAATTTCATGAACAGAGGAGAACAGGGTAAAGTATAATATCTAGGAAAAGAATATCCTATCCTATGCAGCTGATGATTGAACTCATAATTTTTATATGTTATTAAAGTATATACCTTATTACTTCACAAAAATACCTTATAAATCACAAAGCTCAAACCCTTGTCTTACCAGGACAAATTCCCCTGCAGCATCAACCGAGATCTCATATGACTCAGAAACAAGAGAGCTGTTTGCAAGAGCTGTTTTGACCTCAGACCTCCTGATCGCTATGACTTTCGATGGACAAGCTTCACCCTCACACAGAGCCCGTCGCTCCTCTGACAGAGGAATGTTGATCCTTTCTGATTTACAGAAACAAGGAAAATCACTAGTTACACTCCTGATTGGCAACAAAAGGGATAAATCTTAGTAGTTTTGTGAGTCAGTGTGTGCAACGAGTAGGTATGAAAATGGAGATGCTTTGCTATAATGATCAGTCCTAGGGTGAGAAATTAAATTTTCAGAAAAAGGAAGTCTTTCACAAGGCAGTACCTGTTACATAGAAAGATGCACTGGAACAATAAAGAGAAGATTTTAAAAAAAGCATGTCAAATCACACTTTAAGTCATTTGACAGTCTACATAATTTGATAAGTAGGCACCACGTTAGAGTAGTCCTACAATGGATTCCTGCCCACACTGGGATACCGGGAAATGAAAGAGCTGATGCTCTGGCAAAGAAAGGAGCTAGCCTCCCTCAGCCTGAAATTCCTACGAATTACACTACCTGTTGCCAAATGATCAAGTCAAACCTCAAGGAAGAGTGGATGAATGATTGGGCCACAGGTACGACAGGAAGGAGGATGTATGGCCACATGAATAAACCACTGGTCAAAGATCCAATCAATGAGTTGAGGAGGGGAGATCAATCTATAATCTTCCAACTTAGAACACAACATGTACCCCTCAACCAACATCTCAACCGAATTGGAGTAAAGCAGTCTGCTGCCTGCCCACTATGTGACTACTCCTCAGAGACAGTGGAACATCATCTGTTCTTCTGTAGAAAACTAACTGATTTAAGGGGATGTTTTCTTCCCAAGCTACCTCACACATCTAATTGCCTCTACTCCTCAAGACAACAATTAGAACAAACATGCAACTATTACCGAATGGCCATGCAGAAGAGCTAACGCTCAGATGCTACTGGATCAGTAACAACAACAACAACAAGTCATTCGACCATACAGCTGCAAGTAAAAGAACAAAAATTTTTTTTTTTTTTAAATTAAAAGTTCCTTTGACCTCTTAAAAGCTTTCTACTACACACATGTCAAAGAGTTATGAAACTGAAATTGTGAGAAAATCCTCTAATTTAGAAATTATGAACATTAGCACTGAAGGAGCCCACCTGGCCCTGAACATGTTTACTGAGTTTGAAGAGAAAAGTCAAGAAACAAGACACCAACACCTTCAGAAAAGTTCTCAGAAAAATTCCAAGAAAGAATCGCTATATGAATTTGAAAATTATTTTAAAAACATACCAGACAAAAACTGGGCCTCATTCAGGAAGTCTGCATCTTCACAAAGCATGATCTTCCATCCACCTGAATAGATATCAATCGACTTGTCACTTTTTTTCTGAAAGCTCGCTGGTGTTGGGACCACTTGCTGTAGAGAGTCATCATCTTCCTTGGGAGACAAGTACCTGAGAAATCTCACCTCTGGGGAGAATGGCTGGTACGTATCGTAACGTCGCTTTCCAGAAGCCAAAACATAGTCAAAACGTTTGTATTTCTTGGGTGAGTCAAAGTCTCCCACAAAGTCCAAGGACTCACCCTCTGTACTTTTGATTATACGAGGCTCAAGTCCATCTACTTGAATGTACCAGTTTGGAAGTATATCAGTCCGAGAAGCAGAATAGTGTTGGCCATTAAACTTGATAAGCACCGAATCTCCTTTTTCCAGAGTCTTGAAGTTTTTTAAGGGACTGAGAGAGAAGATAGAACCATTAAGGTGAGCAAAGCGCACACCTGCATACTGAAGATCTACACTGTCATCAAGAGGAAGGTAGGTTGGTTCCACCATACGTAAGTGGCAAAAGAAGATTCTCCAACTTGTGCTCTCTGTGTAGTATTTGAGAGGGATATCACATCTATTTGTCAGTGTGATCGATGCACTGAACAGAGCTCTGCCACCACTTAAATTGTCCTCCACCTGTACAAAAAAAAAGTCAATAAAAATTCAAATGTCTTCAGCTATTCTGACCTCACAAATGTTCACCATAAAATTTCAAACTATTCAATAAATTTACATTTTACAGAAATAATTAAGAAGAATGCATAAAAAACCCCGTTTGAAATTGCTTTAAAACAAGCTTAAATGAAAGAGTCTTGTACCTTGAGTAAAATGTTTTTTATTTGAAAGTTTTTAAAAAATGCATTGACAAAAGAGTTATTAATTTTTTGGTTTTCAAACATTAGAGTAATAGGATAATACTACCCAAAGTGGGTTGATTTTTAAAATGTATTTGAGGGAACAATGTTCATGAGGAAGCAGCAAAAAAAGAGTGTGAATGAAACGTTTTTTATTTTTACATTTTTTTAATAGTAGAGGGTTTTACGGCACTCGCAACTGCATAAGGTCATATGAGCGCCAAGGGGTGGGTGTCAACAGAGAAGTCTTTATAGGGAATCAGACTTAGACAGCTCACCTCTCTAGCTTCAACAGCACAAAGTCTGCTTCGACTATCAAGGCACCCCAAAATAGCAGGTCACAAGAGAGTGACAAACATACAAAAGAAGTAGAGGAAAATGACAATAGTAAGGATCAGGAAAGAAATTTTCGTTCGATATGTGTCAAAATTTTTTAAAAATCTCTACAAATGCTACATACAAAAAAGGGGAGGACTTCCGTAACGAGCGACCACTCGACCTATGAGACAGAGGTGTAGGGGATAGGGGTAGGGGTAGGGTTTAGGTTTGGGTTTGGGGTTGTTGGGGTGGTCACTCGTTACGGAAGTCCTTCCCAAAAAGAGTTCTCCATAAAAGTAATTAAAAACCTAAGAAAACTAAACATTCTCATGTATCAAAACTGCTATTTCATCAAAGAAAACTGAACCTGATATTTCAGTCCTAGAGTGGAGGCGAGCACATCTAACTCCTTTTGGGAGATAGGGACACTGCCAGGAGGTGAATCAGTCATGTTTCTATCAGCTGCTCATGTGCCGTTCTATACTGAGACCACAAATATGTCCTCGAACGGCGTTGGGAAATCTTGGGACACCTGCAGACATAAAATAATGAGTAACGTATGATAATTTTAAATGTTTTCACTCAATAAAATAATGTATTTTAAATCAAGTCTGAAAAAGAACGTTTTCACAAACAATAAAAAAAAAAAAGAAGAAAAACACAGAAATATAATTAAGTTAACATGATAAAATTGTTAAAAGCAACCACCTCTATGAGCCTGCTCCAAAACTTAAAGACACACAAATTATAATAATTTTGTACTTCTGAAAGTTAGAAGTCTAAAAGAATTGAACTTGTCCATATTATATCTTTAGAGGCTACTCTACCTTTTTCTGCTGATCCTTTGGCCTAATAGAAAACTTTTAATTAAGAATTTAAGATCATGACATCCATCTGTCCCATGTCGCCAGGTTCACAAAATTTCCACACACAAAATATTAGCCAAAATAAGTCAGAATTAGTGGGTTTTATGCCAAAAATATAATATTCAAAACTACCAGATCTAACTGATAAAATTATAATTGTTTTCTCTGTAATTCTATACACACTGTTTTAAGATATATCCTACCATATGTGAAGGGTGCTGACAAAATGAGTTACTTCTCGGATTCGAGCTATACGGAAATAGATACATCACACTTTTAGGTGAAGTTTTTATATAATTTATAAGTGTGAAATAAAAAGTGGCTTGTTATACACTTAAACAACCTGGCATCAATAGAAAATTTAAAAAATTGACTTCAGTGTTGATTTTTGGCCAATATCTCCATTTGTGGATTGCGAGAAGTGACTCATTTTGTTAGCACGCCTCACATAATATGTCCCTGCGTGACTATCATTTTTGGAGAGGAATTCCGTAACGAGCGACCACTATTATGAATCAGAGTAGAATAGAGAGTTAGGGATTGGGATAGGGTTAGGGTGTGAGGAATGAGTAAGGGTTGGGCTAAGGATAGGGGTAGGGGTAAGGGAAAGGTTAGGGATAGATCTAGGTCTCTTCTTGTATTTGTTGGGGTGGTCGCTCGTTACGGAAGTCTTCCCATTTTTGGATTGAGCGATAGTGTGATAGTGCCACTTCGGTAAGAGGCATTGTTGAGGAAAAAAACAAACACACAGCGCTCAAGTCCTCTGTGAATATCGTAAAGCCGAAAATATGATGATCGAAGTGACTATTTGCACTCGAGTCCGAAGAGACAAAAATTATATTCCGACTCTGAATCGAGTCCAGCATAATGTCCGTTACTAGATCTATCTAAACTGGCCCTCCCTGCATCATTAGTAAACAGAACAACAACCAAGTTGAGTTGACCTTGCCGGGGGCAAAGTTAATTATGTTGACCAATGACACTGCGCATCGTGATCATGCACTCTCCGTTTGCTGGGGGAAGAGGTGTCGGGAAGATGCCACAGCTGTTGGTTTCGTGCGATGTGATTTAAAAAAAAAATTAATTACAGAAAAACTTTACGACACAACAAAATGAAATTAACTGATTCCGTCCATTCAGCCGCTGTAAGTTTTTCCGCAGCCTTTGTTCTACCGCTGTGAGCGGCTCAACGAAATCCAAGCGAAATTGAAACTGCACTTTTTAACATAGGTTCCTACTTTTTAAGTTGTCGAAAGGAAGTAGAACTTGTAAACAAGCCTGACCTCAATCTCTGAGCGCCAATATCGATTGAAACTCTGCATTGCAAAAATCGTTGTTTTGTTGTCGCTATGCTAGATCTAAGGGTAAACAACACGGAGCCTGGCATAATAAAAAGGCCCTTCAAAGAAAGATATTCAAATAAATTTGTGAATTCTTGGATTAAAAAAAAGGGTGATATGTGTGCTAGGGTGATATCGCCACAATTTTGAGAGAGAGAGAGAGAGAGAGAGAGAGAGAGAGAGAGAGAGAGAGAGAGAGAGAGAGAGAGAGGGAGGGAGAGAGAGAGAGAGAGGGAGGGAGGGAGGGAGGGAGGGAGGGAGGGAGAGGGAGAGGGAGAGAGAGAGAGAGAGAGAGAGAGAGAGAGAGAGAGAGAGAGAGAGAGAGAGAGAGAGAGAGAGAAAGAGCTCAGAGAGAGAGAGAGAGATGAGAGAGACTGCTCGATTGAAATTATGACATTATTCTTTTCTTCAAATCGTGATTCCTCCAACTCCAAAACGGAGGAAAAACGATCGTTCATCGAAAAGACATCCGCAATTTTCATTTAGATCTATATATATATCTAGATCTAGAATCTAGATCTAGGCTAGCCTCGAAAACAGATCAATGATTTATGTCTGTCTGTCTAGATCTAGACCTAGGCCATAGAATAGATCTGTGGTCTGCCCTGAGCCAAGACGGCGCTGAAACTTTCCGAAATCACAAAAGAGTTCCCCTACCGGGTCTGTACTGTAAACTGTAAACTTTGTGATTTTGTTCCAGGTTACCGGCTCTGTATACACACTACCATAGATAGATCTAATGGGCCTGTCTGTTGTCAGTGTCACTGGAAATAGTTTCTGGCCTATTCCCAGTGACACTGGGAACAATATTCTGCCCTAGGGCCTATTTTCAGTGGTTTCGGGGCCTGTCACTGGGAATAGTTTCCAGGCCTATTCCCAGTGACACTGGGAATAGTTTCTGGGCCTATCCCCAGTGTCACTGGGAGGAATAGTTCTTTCCTTTAACAATGAAAGCCTCAGGAAACGCTTCACACTTTGATTCTGTAATTCTGTCCCGCCCCCGGGACTCCGTTTTTCAACTGTCTTCTCGGTCTTAAACAGATCCAAAACAGCAAAGCAAAGCCAATAATATTGAAAATTAGGCCTTTGACTGACATCCAGCCAGTTTCATTTTGGCTTGTGAGAGGATCTCACTATCTCAGCTCAACAACACTAATACAGTCTCCAAAAATAATCTTAATTGCAACAAGAGTTAGAAGAGTAGTTCTACTACTTAAAATTTCACCTGCTTCAGTTCAAGTGTTAATTCCTTGAAAGTATTTTTAGAAGAGAAATAATTCCTCTCCCGATGTTTGTATTTTTACGCTGAAATGAAACAAGGCAACGCAGCACCGGAAGCCGTTCTTCGTCATCAATGTTTTTCGGATGCATATAAAACATAGATTCTACATTTTAACATCTGCGGATCAAATATCATCAAGCTCCAATAGTGATTTAATTTTAATCCGCGCAGTTTTAACATTCTAGTTTTTGCAAATTACTCTCTTTCGTTTCCGACGTAAACAAACAGTCATGGCGGATAACTATGTTGTCGAAAACATGCTTCTAGATTTGAAGCATAAAATTCACGAAATGCTTCAGAAAATTGGGACTGAGTCTTCTTTCCATGGAATAGTTTTGAGAAAAAAGTCCAGAGATCTTAAGAGTGGTGACATAATCCTTCCTCGAGGGTGCATAAAAGCTTCAGAAGAAAAAATATCGCAGGTGAGTCAAGTGAGTGTGACTGGTGCACAACTGACAACACTGACACACTGATTCTGATAGTATCTCTATAATATAGCGATATTTCGGTAACGCACATTTATTTGACTTCCTTTGGCTGGGAATCGAACTCCAAACTAGATCTAATTGGTCTTAAAAAATAGCTTAATCAGTTTGTGGCGTTCCAAACAACAGACAAAATGCAACCAAATATGAGCTGCAAGAAAGAAAGTGGCTATTCTCACCCGCGGCCCGCCCGGAAGTTCTCGCAAGATCAACTCCTCCCCTCTTCTCTCTCTCTCTGTCTCTTTCTGAATACTGTCTATCGGTGTGGATGATCAAATTGACCAAAACAAAGTTTAAAAATGATGTTAAAACACAAAAGTAAATAAATTTGGTTGTCTACAAAGATGCTACGGCTATTTAACTTTTCGAATCGAGCCGAACTACGCGGGTCGCCATTTTGTTTTGCCCGGAAATTCTCGCGCTACTCCTCTCTCTCTTTCTCTCTCTCTCTCTCCACTGCCCACAGACAAAATTGTACGCCTTTAGTAGGCTACAGTTGTAATGGAACATTTGTTCACGGCACAGAATTCTACAATTTTTCTGTTATACCATCACAGTGTAGAATTCTGTGGTTTAGGGTGAACGCAAAATTTGGTGAACGCGCACCGGGTGAGAATAGCCACAAGACTCGCCTGCACTATTCTCACTCCGGGTGAGAATAGAGGTGGCCTGCAAGAAAACTCGCAACCCTCACGTAGTCAAACTCTGTCCTGATGAAACGGCTGACTACAAGGTTTCATTACGACAAAAATGTTGTAATGAAACCTCGCATCCCACGGCATAACTATATAAACGGTAGAAAAGTTATTTTTATGCATGCACTAATCACGTTTCTAAAGTGTTTTTATTAATCTGTATCTACTTTGATTTTATCATTTTATTCAAGAGTTATTAGTTTTTTTGTCTCTCCTGTACAATTTTCTTTTCTGCGGTTACAAGGTTTCTTCACTCGACCAGCGACATGTTACAAATTGGGGACTTTTCGTTTGTTACCCTACCTTGAGAGAGAGAGAGAGAGAGAGGCTCTAAGGCACTACTGAGGGAGGGTGGTGAGAGTGACAGGGAGAGTGTAGTCGAGAGCGCCAAGAGTAGCCTACTGTAGGCCTACTTTTAGTATTCATGGGTCAAAGGTTCAGCCAATCGGAGCCGGGTTTACGCCCTGCGTGTAGTCGCATGTGTTAGGATTAGGGAGCAAAGCGAAACATGCCTGAGGCAATGAAAAACGCTCATCGGAATTAGACGCGGGAATGTTAACAATCGCCATATCTAGATCTAGAATCTAGATCACAAGCGGATAATTAGAGAATGACAACTAAACACCCTTGGACGATATTTATAGTAACAGCCCCCTTGTTTGACGTCATTGAGGGATTCCCACTTTTTTTGTCATTCATGGTGGCAACATGACCGCACGACGACAGACGGAAGACATGACCGCACGACGACAGACGGAAGCCTGCCGACTTGGATTAGATCTATTTTCTTTGCAACTTGCAGCTTTTCGGTTCGGATGTCTGTGACTGTGCAGCACCCTTCTTCAGCCAAGATTAATTCTGATGCTGTACACTATGTAACTGAAAAGAAGAAAAAGACTAAGATTAGGCCTACGTACGAAAGCAAGTTCAAACAAAGTTCAATGACGCAGTGCGAATGATCGACCGGATCGTTTCTTTTAGTTTTTTAAGCACAAGAAATCATGCACTTTTTAAAGATTGGACTTAATAGGATGCTGAGTTGCAAATGGAGTAGATCTAGATCTAATTCGAGACTGCAAGGTTTGCATGGATACTGTGAGGTGCAAAAGCAGTTGCCAGGACTAGGGGGAACCACTAGGAAAGACTCAAAGAGGGAAGCTTGGAAACTGCCAGTGCAAACCGCACGCTACGCGAAATCATCACTTGGCCTGGATCTATAAAATCACAATCAGATGGCGCCGCGGGCATCCCCTTTGCGAGGTCAAACAAGATGGCTGTTACTATAAATATTGGCCAATAGCGTTTAGTTGTCGTTCTCTAATAATGTTTGTGATAGAGAATGTTAGGAGTACGCCATTGGCCGATATTTATAGTAACAGCCGTCTTTTGTTTGACCTATTCTAACATATATTATAGTTTAAACATGATGGCTGTTACTATAAATATTTATGTTACTGATTGTGTATGACTTACAGTGAGCAACTCGCCTGCTGTCTTTCCCCTGTTATTATAGGGTCTTCTTTTCTTAATCTTGCAGTATTCTTTGTTCTCCTTTTTTACTCTTCTTCTTTGCTCCTGTCTGCAATGTACTTTCATGGCTTTAATCATCATACTAAGGCTGCCCCTGTACAGAGCACCAGATCCAGAGTTGCAAGTACCGAAACAAACAGTGTATTGCGTTTCAACATGTGTACCAAAATTAGATAATAATTTCATTAGAAGTCTCATTTTTCTAACAAAGTTTGTGCTGTACAGTAGGACAAATGTTTGTATCATTTTTAGTGTTTCCCAAAATATTCAGTTGCCTAATCATCAGCTGACTCTCTTACATCTAGAATCTATTTCTCTCTCCCCACTCTCCACTCCCCCACTCTCGCTCTCTCCCTCTTTCCTTCCCCTCTCTTGCTATTATTGAACTATAATATTCATGAAATTACACTCACATAAATTTATTATGTATATTCTCTCCTTTGTCTTTATCCTCAGTTCCTCTCTCTTGCTGAGAGCCAGCTTCTCTGTGGTAGCCACATAGCCCGGCTGGCCCAGGATAAGTTCAGTGTTTTGGCAGTCTTCTTAAACAGAGCTTCAGTGTTGCAGACTGTTTTGAATGAGGTAGAGTAGAACTTAGGGACCACTGCACGGCTTGACCCAGCTACCACAAATAGTTTATTGTAAAAACTATGCTTTATTTGTTTTAAATACCCATTACGTTAAGAATAAGATGGACTTCCCCCTTAGCCTTATATTAACACAGCTTGCACCACTTACTCTACCAGTCCTTCCACCAAGCAAAAGTGGTGTCATTTTGAACGAGGGATTTCTCAGCTTGTCACATATTGGCTTTGATTGTTCTAGGGAGACTTGTTGTTTAAGCTCTGTTGCTTTGTTCATTGGGGAGAGTTTAAAAGGCCAGATTTATATATTTTTTTAATGCAACATGCAGGAAATATAGATATATATTGATTAATAAAGCCAATGGAAAAATGTGCATTGGGGTAATGATGTCATTGCAATAGCCTCTCTTAAGGAACATGGCCACAGTCTTCAGTCTAGTATTTGAACTGGGACGAACGTGTGCTAACTCGATACCTAAAGTTGCTCCTTGCGTTATCCATGCATGGTTTTTTTTTATGTGACCACACACACACTATTGATTTAGCTATCCTGAACAAGTTCTAGATATAAGCATAGCTTCATAAACGATAGCAGTTCATTCTTGACAGACAGAGAGGTACATCTACTCGAAATATATTTCAGGTTTTAAAGGCATAGTAATTTTGTATCAAAGTCAAAGGAGATGGATATTTCTCAAAATTTTTGAAATGTTTCATCTTATTCTTTCTTTCGAATTTTAGACTATCCTCCTACAGTCAGTGGCTCAGTTGGTCTGCTGCTGGGCTATGGTGTAGTTGACCGTGGTTTGAATCTTCAATGGGGAATTCATGAACTAGGATTGTTTCAGAAGTATTGAAGGCTCCCCACGTATTTGGCTTCATGCTTATTCAGAGATCCTGCCCCTAGTTGGACCCTTACTTTACCATGTTATACTGCAGTTGCCATTTCTGCGTGTTTACTTTTCAGTGCTTTGTCTGCGCCTTTACTTCATTTTTAATCCTCTTTATATTATAGCATGTAAGATCAAAAGCTTTAGTTTTCCAAAAAGGTCTTCATGCACATGTGAAGTTCAATCATGTGCTTTGAGTCGAGTTTCCTCTGATAGTGCCTTTGTTAAAAGGTGCTTCTCGTATTTGTTTGATGCCGTATAAAATAGAAAAGATAATTTTCCAGAGAAGTACTGGCACAATCAATGTCTTATTTTTTTGTTTCACTCTTTGCAATAAATCTGAAGTAAAAAACTGATTCATCAGTCGAGTTATTTTTTTCTCTTGAATTTCCCATTAATAGATTCATCAGGAATGTAAACTTGGCTAGAATATGATGTGAAAAAAAATTGAACCTGTTGTTTTTGTAATATATTTCATAACTTTTGTGCTTCTAATAATATGCTAATGTTGATCTTTGGTATGATGTAAACCGAGATTGTTTCTTAGATGTTACTGTCTAATCTCACCCAGGTGCAGGAATGTGGATCCCAGTATGGATTAAGAAAGTCAAAAGATTGTCTGGGATGCATCGCTTTAAACATCATCTCCGAGGAAAAAGCAGGTGTCAGCATGTCAGAGACAAGTTCTTTGACTGACATGAGGTGTTCCAGTCTACACAGTCATGTGAGAAATCTATTAGAAGCTCACAGGTTTGTTTTAGTGGGAAAGTTAACAGAATTAGGCTTTGGTCACATGTGTATGGTCAGTAGCTTCGACACACAATGGTGCACCTGGAGTCAGTCCACAGTTTCTTTTTCTTTTTTTTTCATTAAAGACAGCATAAAGAAACGAATGGAGGCAGCTTTCTGCAAATGAAATCTAGTCATATCTACACCAGTTACCATTTTGGATTATATTTTTGGAAGCCAAAATAAACCTTTTGTTTTCAATTTTATTTTCAGTCTTACATTGGAGTTGTTCAGAATTTAAAAATAATGCTTCAGAGTACTGAGTCCTGGTGTCCTTGTTGGGAACCAGAGTCCACGGTCTTAATAACTTAAAATAACATTTAGTGTGAGAGTTGATAAAATATATACCCTTTTTGTGTGGAATGTAACGTTACTCTACCCTGCCCTCTTTAAGAAGTTTGTATTTATTTCCATGAAAATATGTTTCAGTTGAAGGCCAATTTTATAAGTAAGAGAATAATAATGAGGTTTGTGAAAGTTAGGCCAGCACTAGCTATAAAAGTTTTTGGGCAAACAGTGTAATCTTGCTTACACTCTCGCCATTGCTAGTCACCACAATATGATGTCCTGTTCTAACCTTGCGTTAACATGTTATTCTTGAAGACATTCACGGTGATCCCAAAAAAACCTGTTCAACTTTTTTTCTGAATATCTCTCTCACAAAAATTGCTCAAGAATGCTGCAATTTGGAACAGACATAATTCATTCAAAAGGTATTTGTTTGACTTAAAATCCACGAAAAATAAACTTATTTTTAAAATAGAAATTGCATAAAGAAAAAAAGCACCCAAATACGCAAAGTTCACTAATTTAAAAAAAAAAATCTTTGTAAAGGAAGTCATGAAAAGATTGGTTGACCTTTTTCTTTATTTGCTCTTTAACATTTAATTTTCCATCTCTGTAACATTTAAATAATATTTAATTCTTTTACAGAGTTAAAAAACTAACCACTGCACTCTGGAATTCCTAGAAGCAACCCTCTACATGCCCTCCTTTGGACTCGACACATTTTAAATGCGTCGTTCAATATTTTCTTTAGTGCCTTAACACAAGGACCTGCTAAACCACGAGTGTTTAGCCACATAAGCTGTATATATTCAGCATGAAGTGGCTTCTAGAGGCAATAGGGAGTGGGGTGCCCAATAGACAGAATTTTTTGAGTTAACATATCCCGCGGGATGAAAGTGGGCTTTTCACTAAACCAAATGTCATCGAGGAAATTATCCCGCTTTTCAAGACAATCGAGGAATCATGAACACATTGCCATGCTCTGATCCATGTCATCTTGCCCTAGCAAAGATGAAAATGGTACTGTCGTAGGTTAAAATCTACTGTGAGAATGCAGACTGTTACGGTGTAGGAAAGTTCTAGCTGCAGATCGTCTATGGACAAACATCTCATGGGACTCACTACTGAAATCTGCACCCTGGTGACGTTTAAAGGGCTGCGCATGGTGCGTGTTCGACTTGAAGTGGACATTTTAAAGGGAATTTTTAGTTCTCATTCGCTGTAGATCCAAGCTGACTGAACTTCTCTACTCATACACCAAAGGTCTTGAAGGCACCTAAGCATTCTTTCTATGCTGTGCACAGAACTTACGAAATGGCAGGGTTAGTGAGTTTGTGGAGAGGTAATGTTCAATATAAAAGCTCTCTGCTCTTTACTAAACTTAACCATGACCTCAGCAGGCAAACGAAATTTGGGAAAAATAATATCTGCATACTTCTGTTGACTTGTTAGACTGCTGTAGCTTTCAATATGATGCGATTGTTGCAACTTTTAATGGTAGGCCTAATGCGAACTGGTGCAACATGCAACGAAAATGGGGATGAAGTCAAAAGTTGTTTTTTTGACGCGCCATATAGAGCAAAACGATTCAATGGACATCTATTTAAAATGAATGTCAAATTCCTTTTGGCTTCCAAATATTATGTTCAAATCTGAAATGCAAAACTTCAGTATGGAAGAAGATATTTACAAAACAAGTTGTATAGTTTATTTGGATCACTCTGTAACATACCCAATAGCCATCAATTCAAAAGTTATCAACTCGCATTGTTGGTTTTAGAATCTCATGCTCTGTGTTGATTAACCAATCTTTCCTCGCTGGTGCCATCCTTTTTTTTTGTGTGTGTATTTCTTCAATTTTTGCTATGAAGAAGTGCCTATTTTCCAAATAAATCTGGTAATCCAGATTCCTGAAATTGTCATGATTTTGTCCGACTTGTACATGTCATATTGCTCTTTGTACAAAAATGGTTCCAATGCAAGATGTATTAGACAATATGATCTCATTTGAAAACTTTGAGTCCTGTGCCCATGTCCCCACATAGTCTGAAAAGTGTCGATTTTTCTGGTACCCAGTTGGCACCTCTTGTTATGATTTAGAATATCTTTCTAAAGGCCTGTAGTTTGACCACCTGCCTTCTTATGCTATATCTTGCCCTTGTATTATTTCCAGGTATTCTGTGATTTGTTTGAATGACTTGTCCAAGCTCAGCTGTCATCCTGATTCTGCCACACATGCACAGTCAATCAGAGATGCCATCTTGACTAGAGCTCTTAAATACCCGAAAACAGTGGAAACCTCTGAGATATCTGATACCAAGCAAGAAGAAAAGGGGTCCTCAGAATCAGGAGAAAATTCTAGAACAACTGATTGTGTGATTGACCTACAGTGTGTCATTAAGGACCGAGGGTACGCAGTTGGGAAGGACGGGTTTGACAAAAACCTTTGCAAAGCCACAGGTCAGTTGTGATTTCTGGATTGATGTAAATCATTAGTTTCAGAGGATTAAAAAAGTTGAAAAGGATGACTTTCCCCTTTATTTGTTCCTATAATAAATGGAATTTGAGGTCCAGTAACACATATGCAAGCTTGTACGAGCTTGTATAACACATGACGTTGCAGAGGGCTACAGGACAGCATCCTATTTTTGAGCTTAGATTGAATCATCTGAATTATCTCTAATGTATCCAAGAGAGGAAGGGTTTGAAATAAAGATTTGTCTGTCTCTGCCTCAGTGCAATTTTCATTAAGGAAGAAAATTAAGCACTATTGACAGCCATTTCTGTGTCCATTCATTACAGCAGTACAGCAGTATCAGCATTCGTTTAAAAAAGTGTTTTAGTAAAAGATGTACGCCACCTTACTTTATCCTAGTGGGAAATGTTGGGTTGCAAGGATCGACCATACATAGAATAGTTAAGACGCTATTGTCAAAGCTGTCTGCTTTGCTATATTCTACAGGGGTAGAAATTTTCCGTAAATTTACGGAAATCCGTAATTTTGATTTGCTCCGTCATTTTCCGTAAGTGGGACCTGTGTGTACTAATCTACAATTGAAGAAGTGTGTTTTTCCAAATCGGCCTGCGAAAAGTTCAGTAAATTTTGGACTGATCAGTTTCCATCCCTGATTCCAAATTGTGTTGATTTGGGGCGGGGGAGGATGTTATGATTGTTCTCCAATATTCTACAAAAATGACAAAAGTTTCTTTTTATTTCAGTGCTTCTAGATGGTGTGCCCAGTAGTGTCACAGAATCAGCCATAAAACTAGAGGAGTGTGTTCTGCACATGCTGGCAGATCAGGTACAAAGCGTAGTTTGTCTTTGGTGGTCCCGATGACTGGGAGAAAATGAAACAGGAAAATGGGAGAATATTTTGTTTAGACAGACTGTGGTACAAATTTGACATTGGCTAGACCAGTGTATGCAGAATGACATGTTATTTCATTAAAAAAAGCATTGAAAATCATTTCTTTTGATTGTGGGTGAAATTATTTCTGCTCTTTGTTTAAATTCGTATTATTGTTTTTGTTTGTTTGGGTTTTTTTTTAACAAACCATGAGGTGTTGGCACATTTTCTTTGGGGAAGCTACTTTTCTGTCTCTCATTGAGATCCTTTCCCTCAAACTGTCTCCATTCATCCTGTTACAGAGCTATTACTATTTGTGTATTGTCAAGTGTTAAGCTCATGCCTTAAAAAATCTTCTTACGTGCAGGAACTAACTGGTTGCATCAACATAGTGCCTCAGTCTCAGGCATTTCGGCAGCAGCAAGTCCACCTGGTTTGGCAAGCTCTCTCAGACAGGTGTGTACCTCAGGTGAGAGAATACCGTCACGTACATTCAACTTTACTTCTGACATATTTGTTGTTTTTTGTTGAAAATATTATTTTTTAAATAAGAGTTTTACAGCTCTTGCAACACAATTAGGTCATATAAGTGCTGAAGATTAGAGGTGTTACAAACACAAAAAGAAGGACAAATGAGGATGATTGATATTTGATAGGAAAGAAGGAACAAACCACACCAGAGCACCGGCCAACCAGCCTCAGAAAATGTTATTGCTTCTGTTGTCGTATATGCTCAGCTGTGAGAAAGCCAGTGTGATGATTGCTGCTTTGTACCAATATTATTGCTTCTGCAAATATTTTCTAAGATTAAAAGAATATCTGGTGTTACCATTATCCTTTTCTGATCGTGGTTTCAGTAAAAATGTGGCATAATCATACTCCCTTGCGGTAGCCTATGGATCGTTTGCATGTATGGCTGTTAAACTCACTCAATCCCTTGACCGAGATATTTTGGTCAGTTCGTGAGCTGTGTTCAATCCCACAACTGAGATAACTCGGCCCTATAGTTTTGTTTCGTATACATAGGCCTCAATTTTCCACTATTTAGCGGATTTCCACTACTGCCATTTCCTCCACTAAATTGTTGAGGAACAGTCATCGGCAAAGAAAGTTGCTGGGAGGGGCACCTCCCACCTCCAAGTAAATGCGCCACCACTTTCTGTATTTAATCAAAATTATAAATACTTGGTAAGTGACTCTCTCTTTTACTTGAAAGTATCTTCCAAACCCTCAAATTGGTATGAAATAACCTTTCTTTGATATATTGATGGTTTTTATTTCTGCATTCTAGGGTTGAACAATATAATAATATTGGGTGTCTCGTAAAAATAATCTTCTGTAGCGATCACGCAGAAATTTCCTCCTTTTGTAAAATCGCGAGTTGAGACCCATGGTACACTAGTTATTTCATTTAAAAAAACGAGCTTAAGTTTTATGTAAGGTCAATTTGTTATTTCCCCATCCAATTCTGCTTAGAGGGATGCTGAAATTTTGTTTCTGCTATCATTGCAGACGGAGAAATCGAGGTTTTTGTAAAGGCACTTTCAGCAAGTTTGTTGACACTGGTCAGCTGAGCATGTCTTGCAATCGATTCTCTCTGCTTTTCTCACACACATATTTTTTTCATTCATGAAAGTATTTGATAGTCTTTATTACACATGTCGTACAATATATAGACACTCACAAGCATATTTGGAATATAAATATAGGCTTGCTCTTGCTCATTCTGCTATGAAAAAAAAAAGCCATAAAAAGTGCCAAATGTGTACAACACACCAAAGCAAAACTACTGAAGCTACATACTTCAGATTTGATATGTCTAAAGTTCCATCTTAGTTGGTACTTTGTGCCAAATTTCAAAGCTTTTTAATATTTATATTTACTAGTGGGCCCTTTCATAAGTGACAGAATGACCGGTTTCTGGGTACATTTTGGGGTAAAACTCCTTGGGTTGAGTGAGTTAATGCATATGTGAAAGCACACATGTCCTTAAGAATTGTTGTTTTCACCTTTATTAGTGTTCACTACTTTACAATAATATCTATGGGGCAAAGGTTAAGCCCTCTGCCTTGCAATACTTACACATAAAAAACATGAAAGTTATCTTTTCTTTTGAAGAAGATATTTAAATTGAGTATCCTAGTTTTCTGATGAAATGCATCCCACTCAGCCAAGGTTTTCCGTGGTTGGCAGTGCCAAGCAATTGGCCTTCTAAATGATCTATAATGTGTTGATTGGGCATAAAATGTTTTCAACAAATGCCCTCTTTCCTTGTTTTTAATTTGCCTTTGGTCTTTTTGTCACACCAGAGTCACCTTACTGTTGGCCCAGTCATACAGAAATCTGATAGTGCTGTGCAGAGCGACCCGTGTGAAAATACTGCTAAACTCTTCCAAAAGTTAGTAACATATTTGAGGATACATGTTTATTCTTCTTTACTGGATGTGTGTTTGGTTCATTAATGGAGGGTTGTTGTTTTTTTATTTCACATTTTTACATTTTTTATTCATGATTATTAAAAAGCATCCATGCATGAGAAGAAAATTTCTTATTTTTGTCTTTTAAATGGCAATTTTATTTTTGTAGGCATATAAGCTGGTTTTTGGTTTATTTGCTCTGAAATTAGATGAAGGTTGTTAAAGATTCCTGAAGTAAAGTGTAGCTCACAGACCGTTAATAAATGAGAATGTCTTTCTTTCATATTCTTTCGTGTGATAAGAGTGCATCAGTACCAACATTTCAAGTATAAACGTATGTCGTTCAGGTTGAGGCTTGAGCAGATGACAGAGGCAGCAGAGATGAGGTACGGAGAAGCCGTGGAGGGTGAGTATGATTCTTTGATGGTGTGAATTCAAGACATATGTGTGTATGCCTAAAGAAAGGTACCAAAAGTCGCCTCAGACCATTTGAGCCTCTGAGTCCACTAATGAAAGATCAATCTTCCCTCTGTAAAAGAACCTAAATCATGTCTCGTTGTGGTTGGGCGGTACACTCCCACATAAGCAACATATCTTGCTCTTTTTGTTATTAATCCAGCAGTTGCTAGTCTTGTTTCCATCAGCCCAGTGCCATGTGGTAGTAGTTGTGATTTTAAAGTTTTTGTTCTCTCCTGATGGCAGCCATGGAAGTAAATAAATAAAGTGATCAAGACATTCTTTCACCCTTCTGTAGTTCATTAGTGCATTCAAGTGTCAGGTCAAAATTTGAATATTGTTTGTACAGGTTTGTAATGTTCAAACTGTCTGTTGCTAATATTTTATATAACTCTTTAGTTTATTCTGTTTTAGTATAGATCAAAAGAAGGTGTAAAAATATATTAGCTGCAAAGGTCTGTTCTCAATCTTTTCAGATGAAGCAAGAAAGAACCAGATCACCCAGCTAACTCAAGCCAGTATCACATTCGATATTCTGCAGAATGCGTCCCATGTCCAAGTGAGGTTTCCAACGGTCTCGTGGTTTCTACCACATCTGTGACCCCAAATAATCTAAATGAGTTTTCTGCCATACCCAGATATCTCCTTTTTGAGTTTGTGTTTGTCTTTTTAGGCATGGTAGTAGAAGTAGCCCACCTCCTGAATACTCAGTTTGTGTCAAAAGAGAAGTAAAAGATTTATGAGTGTTAGATCATCAGCCAGGTATCTAGGGACTGGGCATTGAACAAAAAAGAGGCTGCACCTAAGAGAGTTTCTGTCTTTTGAGGTGGCTCTGCGATGCTATCTGTGATATTTGAAAAGTTCATTTTGTTCTGTTTCTGCAGAAGTAATTGTTCCAGAGTAATTTTTTTTTAAAAAGGAAAAAAATTTAATCTGCTATTTGTCTTTTCTCTCTCATTCAGTTGTCCATTCTGTATTCTTCAATTTTGTTTTATTGCAGCTCCATCTGAGTGCTTGTAGTCCTGGAGAAGGACTAGAGAGCCGGACTGGAGCTTTCATTATGTACAACACAGCCCGTTTGGCCACACTGTTTGAACACTTTTCTCAGGGAGTTAAAAAAGGTGTGGGTTAAATTTCACATGTTTTTGAATTGATTTTAGTGTGTTGGTTCTAGAGAGAAGATTTGTTTACAGAAATTTTTGTTATTGTGCTAGAGGCTAGAATAAATGAACGATCATATTTATTATAATCGTCATCATGGACACCTCCTTGATCATCCTTACCATAATTATCATCTCCTTTTATCGTCATTATCATTTCTACAAGATGGTTACAACTGTTAACAAGTTAAACATTTACTTAGAACCCACAGTACATCGTGGTGGTGGTTAAAATTATACATTATATACTTTTTTCTTTATTCTATGGCTTACTGTGTATGCATTTACCAAATTCTTTCTCATAATATATGGTCACTTCATCCAGAACTTCCCATGGTTTCCCTGAATGTATTCATTTTGTAACGTGGATTTTAACCCTTTGCCATGCAGGTATATACCCTCCACTGCCGTCGCTGAAAGAAACTGACTTTACTTTGCTGAGAGAAGAGGTTGGTTTGTTTTTTTATATCCCTTGTTGTCTGAATTTTACATTTTACTTTTCTCTTTTCTGCTGCTTTAGTTGAATGTGTAAAGGTATACAATTGTTGACTTTCTCTAGATGGGGCCCACATCAAGGGATGTGGAAATAATTGCCCTCCCAGATGTACTTGTGTTATGATATGGTGAAATTATGTGTTTGTCAATTTTTCGCCATATGGAGTTATTGTTAAAAAAGTAATTCTGTTCATTTGCCTTGCTTTACATTAACAAAAACAAACGTATCTGTCTTGAATAGAAGTGGAGATGTTCACGACTTAAGGAGGTGGGGTGGCCTGGTTTCAGAGGTAAAATAAGTGAGAAAATGGTTGCCAAAGCTTGGTGACTGTAGTGTCCTTGGAAACTGCAACATTTTTCAGTAAAATCTAATGGGAATGTGTTTTTAAATGGACATTAAAGGTGTTGAGCTCCAAATTTTAATAAGATGATAAATATTGCCTAACAGGTGGAAAAATGTTGATTTCGTAGATTTCATTATTTTGACAAGCACCTGATTTCACCACTATGCCACACAATTAATTATATATTGAAGGGTAGCGATATGAAGTTTTCTTATCTAACAATGTGTGAGTAATTATGTTTCCTTCATAAAATGTAACCAATGCCCCCGACTTCTTTTTTTTTTCTCGTATACAAAATACTATTTCCATGAAGTTTTTCACCTTTCCTTTTATTATGATACTACCTCTTTAAAGCGCATAGAGCCTGCTGTTGAGTGGGGATATACGCTATATAAATGCTATTTATTATTTATTATTGTTATTAAAACGATGTCAGTGTTATAGTTTTATACCGGCAACGGCTATGTTGTTTTCTCAAATAAGATATGTTGACTCAGCGCCATGGTATGCTGCTGTTCGGAATCTTAAAACCTGTTTTGTATTCATTGTTGTAGATCATGTCATTGTGAAATTTATCTCTTTATTGAAGTTTTCTTTTCTTTTTTTTTCTTCTTCTAATTCCATCATGGTCTTTCTATCTCTCAGGAGGAGTGGGAATTGCTGTTTCTCTTCATCTCAAGGTTCCCGGAAACGGTACATCAGTCTGTGGAATGCGTGATTCCCTCTGATGGAAAAATTGCTGCAAAAGTGCACACTCACAAGGTATGGAATCAGAACTGTACCCATGTATGGTCTAAGTGTTTGAGTAAAGATGTGTGCGTTTCAAGGCAACACAAAATGAGTAGTGTTGCAGCCGGAGTGCACTTTCTCTCACCACTGCAGGTGATGCTGTGTATAAGCCTAAAGCAGATGTGTTGGATAAATAGAGAATACATGGAGCCTGACATGTACTGATGTAAGTCTCAAAGAGACAGACACTGGATTCACCAAAAGGAGAAAGAATCTCCCTTTTCCATAGATTGTTTTGATAGATCATAAAGTTTTGGGCTGGCAGAACTCTCTACTGATCAAACTCTTAACCCTTTTGTTGGCAGTGAGTATGCGTTCCTACTGTCGGCACTGATTTTCAGCTGAGCTCATTTACCCAAAATCGCAGCCTAATGTTTCGGTGATAACGGATGCGCAGTCTAGATCTAGCGCACTCATGGCATATTTCGTAAACCTAGTCTTTGATTGTGTCACTTTGCTCACTTTTCTTTTTCTAGGTACCGCAAACTGGCCTTGCGCCCCCATGGCGCACTGGCGCTCTGTCACGGAGACCAAAACCCATATTTTTACCCTCCTTAAACACCGTGTGATCATGCATACACACAGACACTTGATATATCAGAAGAAAGAGGAGCTTTTCCTCTTTTTAGTGGTATTATTTATTTGAATCAATGATTCTTTTGAAAGGAAAATCTTGTGGTATAAAAGACAACACTATCGAGGTTTTCACTGCAGCGCGTTTCGTGTATTGATTTTTAGAGTGACCTCGATTGAACTGGAACAGGGAGCGTATGATATTAATTACTGCAATCTGATTCGCCGATATTTCAAAATGAGAAAACGCTCTTTCCGGTGATATATTTCTAAAGACTGTCCTTAAAGAATTAATAGAAGAGATTTGCGTGTAAAAGCTTTCGATGCTGTCTTTTTTATGGAACCAGTGATCGAACTGACTGTGGAGATATATCGGCAGAAAGCCCATTCATTCCTCTTCAAGAATAACACGTCTATTATACGCAAATAGATACCGGACGCTCCCCATCAGCTCGCAAGCAGTGCACCATCGCCCCAGTTTCGTATAAATTCTTTCTCCTTCCCGTCAGCGCGGCCCGGCGCGCAGCCAAGGGGCCGGTGGTCGCGAGTGGTGATTTTAACCTCCCCTTGTATTTCTTGCCTTTTTATTCAAAAAGCCATGTTTACGCCAATAAATTTCCATCTTCTGGTTATATGATACACCTGAAAAAAATTGGGCTTGTTCTTTATGTGCATGGGCGTTGTTTTTACAAGTTTTGTAAATATCCATTCAAATTTAAGAATGTTATGACATCTCAAAGTGCAGACATTTCGCAATTAAAAAAATATAGCATTTTCCTGCAACTTCAGATGTTCATAACTTTGTTAAAAATGAAGCTATATGTATAAATTTGGTATCAAAACGCTCAGAATAATAAATTCTATAAGGTGGTACAGTAAACCATGAAATCAGAGAACCTTGAAATTTTAGTCTGTGGTACCTACTTATTCACCATTCCCCCCCCCCCCCCCCCCCCCCATCTTACTCTTAATTTCGAATGACCTGCATATATCTAAGTCAAAAAGTGAATTTATTTGCCTCTTTAAAATCATTTGGATGTTTACATTTTATTAGAGCAATCAGCCACCCGCAAGCCTAGATCTGTGTTTATCGATCACTTGCAAGCCTAGCAGTAAAGAAATACTAGCAAATTTGGTACGGATATACGCATATTTTATTTCCGAATACGAATCAACACAGCGCTTGCGGCTATAACTCAATTGAGAAAAATTAAAGCCAGGTTTTTAGTGTGATGTACATGTAACGTCATATAGGCAACCAGGAGCGGCAAATTTTGCGAACTTCCAAGACGTACATGGTACGGCACAGCGCTAAAAATTACGCATTTTCCTGACGTACCAGATATGTCATACGGCAATGAAGGGGTTAATCCCAACAGTATAGCTTGCACTACAGGTGGTCATAAATATAATGCATATTATGCATCAAACATCCACATGGAACCTTAAGAAACCAATCATTGGGTTTCCTGTTCCACATGTACCACTTATGCGTGTCAAGCAATCTTTTCTGACGTTTTCGATGCTCAGGTTCAGAAAAGATTGCTTGCTACCTCATGTGATCTTGCTCTCATTTTTTAACCTGCTTGATAATGGTCAGTAGAAGCCATGATGCTGAATACTTTCAGGTATAGTATGAATCACAGACAGTGTAGCTCATTCACTCTCTGTGTTAGTCTAAAATCAATTTTAATATTTGTCATGAGCCATATTGTCCCTGAATTATAATCATTGGATAAGGGCGTTGGACCTATACCATTTGACCATGAAAAAAAAATTGACCATTTCATGAATTTGAAGGTGTTCACCATATTGTTATAAAGGCTATTTTAAGGATGTGGTCCCATTAGCACTCATATGTAAAATACTTTTCTGTCCTACATATCTGTCTATATGAATATTTTTTCGTCCTTCTCCTTGCAGATTTCTAACTTCTTGGTTGGTTTTTCAAAACGTTTAAGCTCCTACTACAGCAGATATCACATCCTTGGAGTGAGTATGATTCTTTGTCTTTCCTCTTAAAACATGTGATTTTTATAAAGTTTAATCTAAAAGCAATAATTTTCTTCCACCTGGCATATTTGGAGTTTACCAGCAATGAGTTCAAATAAAATGTATTATAAAGACCAGAGCTATCTTATTTTGTAATGTTGACGGGGAATTCTATTTTCAAGTATAAATGTAAACAATTTTATGTTTTAGTACTTGGACAATGGAAGTTGGGGGGGGGGGGGAGGGTTATGGTGGTTGGATGTTTAGGCAGCTCAGTTTCACCAAAAATGTCAAACGATGTTCATGTAATATCTTTTCAGGGATGCCACTTTTCTGGGTTTTTTAGGTATTTCCAGTATTTTGATCCTGATCGGCTATTTCATTATTGAGATCAAGATAGAATCTATAGTTGGAAAAGAAAAAAACAGCAACCCACATTGTCATTTCTTTCTATGTACACCCATTGCTTATGTTTGTTTGTCATTTCTCTCTATGTACACCCTTTGGGTTTCAAATTGATATTCATATATGTTAGCATGACCGTGGCGCGTGGATTTTCAGCTATTTAAAAATAAGTTGAATGGCATCCCTGTCTTTTAGAGGAATAGTCAATAGAATACTGAGAGCTGACCACGTCATCGTATAGTTTCCTTATATTTGAGTTTGTCGCTGTAGACACTTCGCTACCCTAGAATTACAAAGTTTAATCAGCTCAGTAGCCTACCTAGTTTTGAGAAATTTGACGTTAAAAACTGAGTTTAATACATGCCAAGCTTTTTCGAAAGCAATTCTTTGAATATCTTCATAATGACTCCGAATAATCTTACGATTTTGATAGAGCAGATAGAACATTTGGTTTCTGACCACATAGTCTTAGTACAGTCCATGCCAGCTTTAAGCATGGTCATCGGGAGAAAGCTTAAGCGTGCTTAAAGCCGAACCGTGCTTGAGTGTGAAGCAGACATAATCCAGAGATTTTCTTGTAGAAAATTTCTCGTGCTATTTCCCTTTGTTTGTAAGTAGGCCTATAGCGGTCCCGCAAAATTGTGCGCTGTTATTTAGACACCCGCCATGGTAGTTTTTGTTCGCTTGTTTGTTTTTATGTTGTCGTCGAATAGGAAATGAAAACTTAATTTAGACGGCCAGTCACGATACAGCACACTAGGCTTACACACTGCCTATGCGTACCACTGCCCGCTGTGCCACTCATACCACCGCCTTCATCCCATCTCGCGCGTGATACACAATCAGGATTAATGGATAGCGAGGGTCAACAGTGAAATCGCAGTCAGCCTCCCTTTCTCGTCTCCCCGACTCTCTTTGTATTTTTTTCGGTAGTGTGTAGCTTTGCCCTAGGCCAAGGCTAGATCCTATGTCCACGCGCGCGGCTGTGTGCATCTGCCTTCCTCTCCGCCCGTGTGAGTGTGTGCGTCCATCATTTGCGTTCTTTGTGTTTTTCTTGACACACTCCACTGCTGCGGTGTAGACTGTGTTCAAACTTCGATGCGTCATCATGAAAGTATTGACTGTCTTGTAAATGAAGCGTGCTTGAAGCCAAAGTTACCGTGCTTAAAGGCTTGTAATTTATATAGCAAAAATTCGGTAAGAGCCGTTTAGCGTGCTTGAGTCCGAAACGTGCTTTAAGCCGGCGTGCTTAAAGCCGGCACGGACTGTAACTCTAAATGGCCAAAAATGTCAGAAAGAACTTTGTAATTGTAAGGTAGCAACTTGTAAAAACTTTCTCTTAATCCACAAAGAGAATCGTGTCCCTGTGGTGCTCAATGCTTTTTTTTTTTTTCCCCAGCTGTCTGAGGGTAAAGATAGTGTCTGTGCTCCCTTTTTTATTTCTGAAACTCATGTCCTTAAGCAAAATGCAGTAAACTGTTCAAGACAAGAGTGTTGCACCCTGACTACTGGTAACGGTGCAGTATTGATGAAATTTAAAAAATTTTCTCTATGATTGTTCTCATATATATAAAACGTTTGTAACACTTTTTCCCAAAAGATCCATAATGGTGTCTTCTCTTGCCTTTTTCTGTCTCCTGTTTTCTTATTGTCTGGATAAAGAGCTGGTGTTGTATATTTATTTCTTATAATTTCTCTTTAATTTTCTGCACAGGGTGGAGAACTTCACCTACTGCCTCTTATGTTTGCCCGACTTCATCTCATGCGAGCAGCTCACCAAGTCTTGCTAAATGCTCTCCGCCTCATTGGCTTGGAGGCTTTGGACCATTTATAGCTCAGTGTTTTTGTGCTGTCGAACCACATATTCTTTCAACTGCGCAAGTCATGAGGAGCAGGCAATAGTGACAAAAGTGTATGGTGAGAGGGTGGACATAATTCATGCTATAAGGGCAATTAAGAAAGAAAGGTACTTGTAGATTTCTTTAGATCACGCTTTGCCTTCAATGACTGAAAAGCGTCTCAATGCACTGTAGTGTCTTATTTAAACTCATTCATGCTTAGCTGCGTTTTCTCTGGGGGGTGGTTTGATCTCATCAGTGGTTTATGACCACAATATTAATGTGTCCCTGCCGGTCAATATCAGTCATATGAAGGAAATTTCAAAACTGAGTTAACTTTGTTTTAAAAAACTGTCACCTTTTCCCTATAATTTAAAACAAGAATGAAGTAAATATGACCATATTTGACGAAAATACAGAACTTTTAATTGTGCGAGGTGAGGAAACATGAAAAGGAGAAAATGGCCTCCGAAGTTGAGCAACATGTTTCCATAGCAAAGTGTGTTACAGTTGAGATAGAGACTTGAAATTTAGCGGTTATCTTGGTTATGCCACTACAAGGTAACATACAAAAGTAGAAAACTATTCATTCTCAGAGAAAAAAACTTATGGACAAAACAAAATTTTCACGAGAACAGACTTCACGTCAAATGCAACAAAATATTAGCATTATACTAGGTACCAGAAACTAAATTTTCAAAGTAACTGTTAGTCAAATTCATCTTTTTCATATATGAAAGACTTGTGTCTCCTGAGAAATTTGGTACTGTACTTTTACCTCTCGGTCAATGTGTAAGAGAATGGCATCTGTTTCAGTTTAACATAATATCAAATATTGCTGAAGTCGTTAACTGGCTGCAACCCCATGTTTGACAGATGATAAAAGAGTACCAAGTGCACCAAACATCTCTACATTAACAGAGTACAATCATTATAACAAAATAGTGAAATCAAATTTCTTTCCAGATTGAGATCATTGCCAATCAGTATTTCATTGCCTCAAACACGATGATATGTTGTTATTTCAATTAAAACACCGAGCATTGTCTCGGCCAGTGTCGCACAAGCCCTTGCAGTGGGCGAGTCGACCCAATACTGTAGTGTACTGAGTGCTCCCTGTGGTTTCACGGAAGGATTCATGCAAAATAATTCCAAGCTGATGACTTTATTCTAATAGAAACAGAACTATTCTTTCTATTAGTACCTTTTTTAGCCGGTATTTTACACATTTCGTGTTAAAAATGATCCTTGAAAACTTGGATCCTTTTTTTTTTCAGGGTTTTCTCTGTGAACACCAAAGGCCAAAAATAATAACTATGGGAAATCGCACTCAAAGCTTTATAGTTCTCCTCCAATGAAAAGACAGTATTTTATCATCAATATTTCTGCAAAGCATTCGAATGCATGGGTGGCAATTTTGAACCGGCTGACCTCGCATTCCGACAGCGAGGGGCTTCCTTTCCACAGCGATTCTCCAGCTCCAAATACTGGGATATACAGACAACTTACACTATTGTAATGAAGAAAATCTTAACTTTTTTAAAGTGTTCAGCATTTGGTGTTTTATAGCAAAACAGCAAAGAAAAAGAGATCTGAATTACCCCTTTTCACCGAAACCACGCGCTCGGAAGGCTGCGAGTCGGCTTACGTGCCGTTTTAATGCTATCTAATTATACATTTGCAATAGCACCATAAACACAAGAGAGCACACCCACACGCACACACACAAACACAAACTCACATACACAAACACACGTATACACACACATACAAACACACGAACACACATACGTACATGCGCATAGACCGCCTCGGTGGCCTCTTAGTAAGGAGTCCACTTTGAGAGATTTAGAGGAAGGTTTATTATTCTTTTAAAAGCACTAAAAAACAATATAATAAAAACAAATTTTTAAAGTCAATCCAAGTGTAAAACTGAAAGGTCAACAGGCGATAACAGCTAGCAGAGCACTCCCACACAGTCAGCTGTTTACGTAAACAAACTTGAAGTGAGCTAGAAGTTACCGTTTTTACTCCGTTTTACCAATCAGAGTTGTTTACATTTCAGACCATTCATGCTCGAAAAGGGGTCAAAATCTAAAAGTAGTTGTGAATGAAGAACGTTGAAGCCTTGAAGCAAAGGTGGCCATGAGGTATTGGTTCTAAAAAATAACCTCTCAGCTACACACTAGCAAGGTCCTAATTCCTTTATCTCTTCACCCAAGCTCACAACAAAAGACACACGCCTCCAAAATAGATCAAAATAAAATATTTATAGTCGATTTTAATTGTTTATTTTTATCTTAAATGAAGTAGAAGACATCAAACTTTCAATCGATCCAAAAAAAAAAAATTTCATGGAAAGTCACTTTTTTGCCTTTCGAGCCTCTTAGCAGATAATAGCACACTGCGTCTTACGACTGATATTGACCGGGGTAGACAGAAATGTGATTATGAATCAGTGCCATTCATTAATTTATACCTTTCCTCTTGTATTTTTCTTCTTCTTGCTGGAAAAGTGAAATGTTAATGTTTGACACAGACTTGTTATTTTAATTATCCAAATTCCATTGTGTTGTTACAAACATTTTTTGTCAATTTTTATAAAATAGGATTTGGCATAAAATTTTATTTTCTGCAGCGTAGTCGACTGGAATCAGAAATCTGTATAAAACAGGAAAGGAAAACTGCAGAGTGTGGTTGTATTGGCGGATGGGAGTGTCAAAGAGACTGTTTGTTTATGGGGTCGCAGAAGTGTACCTGTATGTGTGCAATGTGTTTTGAATGTCAAAAATGGTGTGTTGTTATATTCAGAAAGTGACTTCTGATGTTTTTCCCATACTTTTTGTAAAGTACCCAGTGATTTCACTCATGGTGTTCTGTTTTTCAAAACCGGCACCAGCCTTTTAGCAACTCTGTCGGTTATGAAGGTCAAGAGGTTGAGTGCTGTTCACTTGAAACGTTAATTAATGTTGATTTGTGATAGGTTTTACATCATCTAGTACTGTTGTGTATCTTTGAATGTTTATATGAAGGCTTGTTGGTTTAGAGGAAAGGTGCTGTCCTGTCATAAGGAATCAATCAATTTGACTCTTGGTTCACACGGGCATGGTTGATGAAGTTGTTTTTTTTACACCTGGGACCTCAGAGTAGGTGAGTGAAAGCACTGTCTTTTCAGACAGATAAGGACAACATATTTGGAGGTTCCATGTGCATTTTTTGTGCATGTGAAAGACACCTTGGCAGTTGAAAGTCGAGGAAGAACTGGCTTTCCCAAATGAATTTTATCTTGGTCAGTCTCAAAAAGTGGAGATAATATGAAGAGTTTTAATAATTAGAATTTCATGATGGCACATGGCTGAAAAGAGGGTAACTTTACTTTTTACTTTTTCATCCTCTGTTGCCGTTAAGCGTGGCGGGGAGATGCAGTTTTCTATGGTAGGCCAGCTCCGCAGCTCTTTCAGTTGTGATGTTATAAGGGTAACACAATGCTATAATCAGGAACCTGGCGGCAATCCAGTAGAAATCACTTACTTCCAGTTTTCTTAGCAAATTTTTGTGTAGAAGTACGAACTAAAAAAAAAAAAATGGAAATTGTAGCACAATTCTTTAAACATGCATGACTTTGGTAACCATGGCAGAATTGGCTTGAATTCCTGTTTTGTTAAAAATAGTCTTTTGTTTCAAAGTAAAGTGTTCATGCAGTACTATTGTCCTACGCAGTGGGTCAAAGACCAATGATTCATACAGTGAGATTAAAAGCAAGACAAATTTCCTTTTATGCTGTTGTTTTCTTATATCTTTTGTATTTATAGCTCTTTTGTTTCTGTGTTTTTGTTGATATAAGAATAAGATATATGTTTTATGGGGATGGGGGGGGGGAGGTTGGAGGGATTTTTATGGTAATGAGAGGTGGATGGATATTTTCAGATTTGAGTTAAGGAAAAGCACTATGATGCAAAAAAGTTTTTTCGGGGTGGAAAAAGGTTGGACAGAAACAACAGAGAAGTGAAGGTTTTGAATGTACCAGTGCATTAGAAGAGGTCTCCCCGTCCAATCGCTCAGGAGATGGATAGAAAGATTTGGGATTGGGTGGGGGGTTGCGTTGGTTTTGCTAGGGTTGAATCGTAAGTTGCTTTTCCAAGTTCTGGTTCTTTTCAGTCAGTGAGGCATTTCATTTCGATAACTCTGACTTTGTCTCAGAAAAGGAAATCAATAGGCCTTGACTGTTGCTTTGGAAAGAACATACAATCGTACTTGAGAACTCAGCACATTTTGTAGATAAAATTTGTTGTCAAGTTGTAGTTTATGACATTAGTGAAATAAAAATCACATTATGGCATGTTATAAATGAAGCTCATTCTTACCTCTTGGTACCATATGTGCCACTGCTGTATCTCGCCTTTTGATTTTTGTTTATTCTATTTGACCATCATTTTACCAACATGTTTCCTGCTTGTTATAGCCATCATATGTGGTGAAACAGCCTCTTCACTTAGATCACAAATAATGTGAATTTGATTCCTGGATGAGTAATATATATGTTAGCAGGTGTTTCTGTCCTTCTGCTGGTCTTTAACCATATGAAAGGGAGGAAGGAAGAAACCCTTCTCTTGAATAATTTTGTTGTCGTTGTCTTTGTCATGGCCAATGTTTTTGTTACATGTACCAACACAGTTAAGAAAGAAAATTTACTACCAATCCCAAGGACTCGTAAGAGAAAACAAAACATTGAACTGCTAGACTTTATTTCTTTTTCCTGATGGGGGGGTAGGCCTGTTACCTACCCTAAGCAAAATCTTTGCACTCATCTTTGATATCCTCGTGACGGAAGCTTGACCATCCCATGGAAAGTGATTCACGTAACATGGAGATGATGACCTATTGAAAAAAATTCTAAGCAGTGATGGAGCCATTACTTACTATTTTTTTGTTTGTTTGTTGAATGCAACCTTCCTCAAACAAAACGAAATGAAGAATGGCTTTATCATTGCTTAGATTTTCTTTTAGAAGGCTATCATCTCAGTGTTACGTGTGTCATATATATATTTTTTTTATACTGTAGTAGAGGGTTTTACGGTGCTCGCAACTGCATATGGTCATATGAGCGCCAAGGGGTGGGTGTCAACAGAGAAGTCTTTACAGGGAATCAGACTTAGACTGCTCACCTCTCTAGCTTCAACGGCACAAGGTCTGCTTCGACTATCAAGGCACCCCGGAAATAGCAGGTCACAAGAGAGTGACAAACATACAAAAGAAGTAGAGGAAAATGACAATATTTAGGATCAGGAAAGAAAAAGCAGCAGTTCCCTGTTGTAGATCAGGCACAGTTATGAGCGTGACATGAGTCAGCCCATTTACAATTCTACTATGCTTGAACGAGAAAGGTCCTTCCTTTGGGAATGGCCTAAAGACACTGCATTCAGTGGCACTGCCCCTGGGGGTTACATGTGTCATTTTTCTTGGAATGGTCTTATAAGTGAATAGCATCAAATTATCTTTGTCCCCAGAAATAGGTGACACAGCTCAGTCTGTGCTTTCATGCTCAGACAATGTTTCCAAACTCGGTAAAAATGTCGTCACTCGGAAGTGAAACCCATGTCTTCAACGTGCGATGAGTCTACATGTACTAACTGCACCACATATGTTGGTAGAACATTTTTATTTCAATTAACTATTATTACTTGTAATTGAATAAGATCAAATCACTTATTTTTAAAGTTCAGTTGTCTTATTCTAAGGACCCTCCACTTTATCTGCATACAGTGGCGCCCTTTGAGCGAGTGGTGTGAGGTTCCTCTTTATTCGGGCAAAGAGTCGTGATCTCATCGGTGGTTCCTGGCGTTTTGCTCTGGTCTTCTTATTCTTCATCTTTTTCTTCTTGTTGTTCCTCATCCGACTCTGAAGTTGTCGAACAATCACATGGTAGTCGTGACGTCATTTTTCTCTTACAATCATCATAATAACTCGGTTTGAGCGGCGGCTGTCGTGAGAGGGGACAGTTACCTCCCCTTGGACCACAAGTCACCACGTGACCTGCAGGAAGTGGCGGGCCCTGGTGGTTCTCGGGGAAACACTTGTACATCCGGCTGTTCCCGTCAGCAGACACGCTGTCCGGGTGACACAGATAGGAGCCGGGGGATAGAGGAGGGCCAGCCGCCAGTCTGTACTGGGGTGTTGGTGAAGGTATGGAGGATGTTTGGTGAGCGTGATGAGGAGGAGGCGGAGGGGGGTGAGGATTTTGACAAAAAGGATGATGCTGAAGAGGAGGAGGAAGGTAAAGATACCAATGAGGAGGAGGAGGGTGAGGAAGAAGAGGAGGGGGAGGGTGATGATATTGATGTGGAGGAGGAGGGTGAGAATACTGATGAGGAAGAGGAAGTGATGGCTCTGGTGCGGATTGTGGGATAGGTGCCCCGGCCTGTGGCTGGAGGAAACCGGGAAGGACAGAGCAAAACCCACCACAGGGTGTACATCGGGGCCCCGTTGTTTCTCTGCAGATTTGAAAAAGTCGCTGTTCATACAGCGTCTGGCCGTAAGCTGTCTCCGGTAGAAAGGGGGTTGAAGGGGCGTGGTACTTGGGCGTCGCTGTCTGCTGCTGCTGTTGTTGTGGTGTCGTCGGGAGTCCCGTGAGTAGTTGTTGTGGTGTCGTCGGGAGTCCCGTGAGTAGTTGTTGTGGTGTTCCCACGTGCAAACGTTTGTGTCCGTGGGGTAGGTTCTCCACCCAGAACTCCGGCGGGGAAGGCTGTCGAGCAGTTTCCGGTAAAGGGTCTTTATTCGAGTCCGTCTCTTGTCCTTGACCTCTCCGCACGCGCAAGTACCGGAAGGTGGCGCGGCGTAGCTTGGAGCAGGCGACCACCAGCAGGTGAGAGATGAAGGTCAAGGTTAGCCAGGCCAGAGCCACCAGGAAGGCCTTCAGGCTGAGGGGAGAGGTTTGACACGGCTGAGTCGGCTAGCCATTCGCTATATGTACAACATTTTATAGCGTTAGGTCGCTTTGAAACTGACTCTCTACCTTGTAAGTAATGAACAAGACCCGAAAGGACACAAGGAAACATGTTGGGCCTGAAAGTGAAAGCGGCATCGGGGGTGTAGTTAAGACAGTAATTGTATATTATTAGATGAGCAAGTACCCTAGAACTACAAGGTCAAAGTTCTTTCAGCTCAGTACTCACTTTTGATAAATTTATCTTTAAAAAATTGAGTTTCAAAACTTGCCAAGCTTTTTCGAATGCAATTCTTTGAAAATCTTGATAACGACTTTGAATAACCATACGATTTTGATAGAGCAGATAGGACATTTAATTTGGTTTCTGACCTCATGGTCTTAGAAAGTCAAAATAGTCAAAAATGACAGATAGAACTGTATAATTCTAAGGTAGCAATGTATGTATTTTCACAGAGGTTGGGCAAACAGCTCGTCGAAACACTTTTGAAAAAAACCCCCAAAAAACCCCAAACTCCTTTATAACATGACAAGTGGTATAGCAGTAGAAATATGGGATTGCAAGGTGGCTGAAAAAGTGTTCTCTACGTTATCTTTTAATTTCGATGTATGTATGCGTTGTGTTGTCAATCATGAACATTCTAATTTTTGAGAGAGGCTCATTCATCATTCATAATAACTACCAGTATAAATGTACGCTTCCTTTATCATTTCCTTTTCTTTAAAAAGTTTTTGTTGTCGTTGTCGTCGTCGTCGTAGTCGTCGCCATTCTTGCTGGTTGTGATGTGTTTCTTGACTCTACCGAGCCCGTCTCTTGTCGTCCGCTTTAATAATATCGTTGTTGTCACTGTCCTTGTCCTCGCTGATATTGTTGTTACAAATGAAGCGTGATCCTGAAGCATACAGACGAGGCAGAAAGAATTACCGTAAACAAGCATTACAAGCTTTAGTTAGAACTGATACATCAACAAAATTATGCACATGTTGTTATCATATGTGACGCATCGTGGTGAAATCAGGCGCTTGTCAAAATAATCAAATCAAAGAAACTGGCATTTTTCTATCCCTTGAGCAATTTATTTGTCGGTTTTTTGGGGGCTTAACACCTTTTATGTCCTTTTAAAAACATACTCTGTGTGAATGTTACTGTCAATAGTTCATCAAAGCCATAATAGATGTGTATTTGAAGTTTCCAAGGACATTCAAGCTTTTGAAATCACAAAACTATTTCTCGTTTATTATACCTCTGACTCCAGGTGACCCCCACTTTTTTCAGTTGCAAATATCTCGTTTTCTATTAAAGATATAGATCTAGGTGGGTCTTTTCCCCCACAAAAGCAAGGTAGATGAAAAAGGCTTAAGATGTTACAAATAACTCAAAATGGCCAAAAATTGACGAGTGCCTGATTCCACCGTGTCATGACACATATTATCAACCTGTTGCCACCCCAGTCCATTCCCCGATAGACGTAGTTATTGCCCTGTGGATCCGAACCCCCGATCGCCTGGTACACAGCCGTGAAGCAGACGTGAAGGAGAGTGAGAAGCACCGGCTGGAGGCAATGCTCCACGCGTGACGGAATTGACGTGGTGGCCACGTGAATAACAGTGTATCCACTCAGCGCCATGCACAGGTAGAACACAGATGAATGGACAATTGCTTTGGGAGAGGGGGATGGGGGTGGAGGTGAGGGAGGGCAGAGGT